CCCTAAAAACCTTTTGGACGTTGCCATGGATTAAAACTATATGTGATCCTATTCTAGCTGACTTTGGATCTACCAAGCCATGTTCGACCTCCATCTTGCAACATTCATGATGGTTACCAGCACAAGGGCATGTGACCACACACTCTAGTCAATTGTGGTTTGTGGTCCCCCACATTCATTAGGGACCACAAAATCGACGGTGACGCCTGTGACTCAGCTCTACCCGAGAGCACCCGGTCTACCCAACAGGACCGGCTGTGACAGGCAATATCAAATCCATTTTGAGTGCCAACTATGTACTCCGTACTACTGTGCTATGTTGTAGTCAATGAGAATGGAGTTGGTAGGTGCTCCACTCTTAAACCATGGGTCTAGGCCGCGCAACCAAGGATTAAGCCATGCCGAGTGCCAGCAGGCAGTCTTGGCATGTGAGGAGAAAAGGGTCGACTAAGCGCCGTTGGATGGAATAACCTTAATCAGCAGCTTCTTTGAACTTCCCATTGGACCAAATCTTTTCCACGGTTGTTGATGAGTGGTTCATCCAACTACTTGATGTCGCCTCTCAAGAGGAACCGTCCTGACACAGAAGGGGAACGGGTACCTCGGCATTTTGTGAGTTTTGTACCTGTCTGCCACGAGTCCACACCACGTGTGCTTGCGTTGTTCAGCATACGATGGACTATTCCCATGGACTATGTTGTATCCCCCTTTTGCCCCTACTACCCTATGATCGATATCGTGTAATGAAAAAAAAAAAAAAAAAAAACCAACACACCAAACCCCGAAGTGACCAACCGCGAAGCGTTGTTCACAAGCGAAAAGCGCAAATCAGAACCCAATTTATCCGCTTCGGTTTTTTAAACAGAAAAGATCCAGCAAATCAGATCGAGGCTCAGAGTCGAAAATCGAAAATCTAGAAGCCAGTCAACCCCTCAGTGGAACACCGTGAATACCATCCGCCCATCCGACTGGTGGAGGATCGACATTCTGTGCAACGGGTCTGAGGTGGGGAGTCAGATCTGCGAATTGGAGATTGATGTGTTAGGGTCTGTTGAGGGTCCTTGTCTATCACTTGTTCTAGAGCGTGATCATATTCGTTCTCGGTGTGTTGAACAGTCTTCGTGGCTCCACTATTTGCTTCGGACGTTTTACAATGTAATTGATCGTCTGTGGATTCGAGGAATTTACCTGGTTTGTACTTTGCTCATGGGCTTTGCTCCACGGTCTTTTTTCGGGAATTCTGTGGCCTCCCAAAGATCTTCTCGTACCCGGAATTTTTTTTCTTTGCCTCAAGATAGGTTTGAAGTCAAGGTACCAAGAGGAAATTTAGGAAAGTTGGTAAAGATCGTATATTTCGTCAAAAAATCAAGATCTGATGATCATGTCTATTCGCAAGTCAATTTCTTCCCCCCCTCCCCCTATACATCTCTCATGTTTCCATCTTCCATCCAAGTGCGGAGAGTATTCCCCAAAACCGTAAAAATCATAGCTCGTGACGAGACATCCTGCCCCAGCGGAAATCAACCGGCTGTAGATGGGGAGAAGACATGTCGAATCAACCGAACATGTTGCATAACATAAAAATCATCAATCTCATCTACAAAAAAAAAAACATCGCCCCTGGTGATTTGTGAAAGAAGGTCATCTGCCGACTAGGGCGTGCTGCAATGGGCGTAAACAGGCATTAAAAAAAAACGAGAGGATGCACAGTTCAACCGGCCAAACAGAAAGCATCAGAGCTAGGGCTGGCCAAGAGACAGCTCAAGAGCAGTGTTGATGGGGCAGCCGTGAGTAGCGTGGTCATCAGTGGGCTTGAGATAAGCAGCAGAGCAAGCAGTGTCACCAGCCTTGCAGATGGCCTTGGGGCACGTGGAAGTCTCATCAGAAGGGACGACAGAGAAGCCGAAGTCTGTGAACTTGTTGTTGCCGGCCTGCATGTTAATGCAAGACATGTCCCAGAAGATGGTATCACCAGCCTCGGTGTACTCGAACTGGAGAACATCTTGTTGGTTGGGATCGAGGGCTAGCTTGATAGAGATGCCACCGCCGTTGGGGTTGGTGCGCCATGTCTCGGAATAGGTGCCACCGCCGCTGGTGATGGTCTGCATGGGACCAACATCATTGGAAACGGACCAGGCGTAGACATCCTGGGCGAGGTTGTTGGTGATCTTGACACCGCCGCCGTCACGGCGGACCATCATATCCTGGGGAAGAGCCAAGGCGATGGTAGAAAAGAGGGCGGCAAGGCCGAGAGTCTTGGTGAACATCATCTTTTTAAAAGGTGAGATTTTTTAAGAGAATGATTGAAATTGTGATTTGAATCTGGTCGACAGATGTAATGAATGCAACGAGAGTCAATCTCGAAAATGAAGAGAATGAATGTCAGAAAGGAATGTGATGATTGTACTTTGTAGTGACTGTGATGAAGAACTGAAATTCCGGGGTGAATGAGAGGGTTTATATAGAAGTCGAAACTCGAGATGCATCCAGACACTAGGAGATGGAAACTCCGAAAGAAAACGTGCAAAGCCACCTATACTTCGAGCCATGGATCGGGTCAGGGAAATGTGGGTCAATTCAAAGGCAAAAGGCGAAAAGGCAAAAAAAAGAAAAGAAAAAAAAATAATCCATAGAACAAAAAGGCGACATTCGAGAAAAAAAAAAAAGAAAAGAAGTGGACGCAAATCAGAGCGTCTCGCCTCCAGGGCTTATTCGACTGTCGAGGAGAGAGCCCAGACCGATGTTAGATTGAGCGCGTAGGAAAAATCAGACTACGATCGTATGGCTGAGACCTGGACGATGTACACAACAGATACATTCTACTTGTCAAGTGCACCATCTACACTGCAACCAGTTATGGCATCACCGCTACCTATACATGTATATGATACTCTGAACTCAACACTCCATTGTAGACTACAGTGTGGGCGTGTCGATATAGAGAGTTCTGCGTGTTCACCCAGCTCACTACCAATCAAGGGCCCCACTGATCGCCAGAAGCCCCATCTGACAGCGTGGCAATAGTGTCCACTTCCCCTGGAACCCCACGTCATGGCCATCTGGCCGCGTCCGTGGTTCTTCCAACCCGATGGAAGAAATGGCCTCTAAAACCCTTGAACCAACAAAATCCCCATGGCAAAGAACATGGAAGAAGCTCGGCTGCATGGCTGCACAGCCACGTATCTTGCATTTTTGCCAGGAACCACTGGGGGTTTGAAGCTCGTTGTATGGATGTGTTGGCCACCATAATCTTTCGATCCCATTCCTCGGATTACATTCGGGGAAATTAGTGTAGAGTAGAAAAAAAAATTAAAAAAATCTCGAATCTAGAATTCCTATCAAGGGTTGAGGCAAAATAATAATGTACATTGAAACGAAATCAAAGTACATGCTGTACTTCCCCATCATAATGAGGCAAGTAGGGCATGACCAAGCAGACCATTGATAGTGCACAATATACGGAGTACGATGTAGGTAGAAGAATGCCAATCCAGCCAATCAACAAATCTTCTACAACATGCCAATTATAACAACTAGAACCAATTCGACTGACCTGGCTCTATATTAATCATTTGTATGCAAATAAGTCCTGACTAGGTAGGTAGGAGCCGATACCCTCTCACAAGAAAGGACTGTGTTGTACACTTAATTTCACCTATGTTGTAGAGTACTCCGTAGTCCGTCACTAGGTGTCAAAGATCCTGAGCCAATGACAAACTTCTCAACCCCCCACTAGACGCCTCTGACGTTGAAATGGACCCCTGCACAACTGTACCTGGCGATCGAGTCTGGATTCTTTCGGGCAACAAGCAGCGATGTTGTATGTCGTACGTGGTGTGGACTAATTCTCATGCCAAAACCATCGTGCATGAAGTGATTATAAATTAGGGCTCCGATCGTCCAGATTCGGGATTATCAGGCTTGAACTAACGAAGACTAGAACTACCCAGGGTGGAAGGCATGGTCATGCATTGACCATGTGCATGGAGGTTGTGACACTAAGAGAACTCTCCGTAATAAAAGAAACTACCCCTGGTATACACAGCTGATTTCTCCAGTCTCTCTCCCAATTCCGTTGTTTTTTTTTTGGTGTTTTTTTTTTGGGTAACTTCACACTCCGTTGAGCTCAGGATACTACTCCACATCCCATCACTACCTCTTGTGTGAGCCACGGAAGTCAGCGTCACAGTCACCGGTGGTCCTTCCCAGTCTGGGTGGGACCAGCTGGGCTCCTTACCCCATCAAACCCCCACCAATAAGCCTTCTTCCACTTTAATTCTTTGCAGCTTACCTGCAGTCTAGATCGCCAGGGGAACCAAGCGGTAGAAAACAGTGCCTGAAAGAGAGGGGTTGGACGGAGGATCTCGGATCAGGCATTTACCAATACGGTGCGCGCATGGCCGACAAACTAGCCAGTGCACCCTCACTGCCCTCCTCTTTCTTGCGGTGGCCAGCCAGCTCCAAGTTAATCTGACGGTGGATGTGCACCAGCCAGTCCACGTAGCTCTGGGCCTCGTTATTCCGGTCCTCCAGCAGGAGTCGGGCGAACTCGTATTCCGCCCCGTCCATGCCTTGTCGGGCCAGTTGGATCGTTACGGACTTGGACCCGCGCACCGTTGACAGGTACTGCAGCAGATTACGCACCTGTGCGTTCAGGTGCGTCTCGAGCACAGGCAGGGACGAAATGTTGGGGTTCAGGGCCTGGAGGGAGTCGTGGCCCGGCCCGAAGAGGTCTTCCAGTAAATTGGGTGAGACCTGTGCGTGCAGCCAGAGTAGAACTGCCTGGCCGTTGTCCACGATGTAGACACCACCATCTTCAGTGCGAGAGAAGCTGGCTCGCAGGGAAGGCGGGATTTGGAGCTGTCCGTGCTCGTTCGCAAATCCATCTTCCGGCTGCATGTTGTGCACGGGGATAATACGAGGGTAGAGGTACAAGGCCATTTCCGTACAGCCCATTGACCGGATCATGCGCATGTCATGCGCCCGTCGGTCTGATGACTCGGGACCAGCCTTGAAAGCTCTTGATTTGACCAAACTGAGCATGTACATCGAGAACTCCTTCAGGTTCTCGGGTAAAACTAACTGGCCGGGTGGGTGCGAGCCGGAGAAGATTTTACGATATCCGCTGAAGATATCGACTGTCTTCTCTGAGATACTGGATCGGATGTCCTTGAGGTTCTTATCCAAGGTTTTTGAGGCGGCTTTAATGATATCAGCACACATAGTCGACGTCTTTTGATGGATCATTCCACTTACCCTCTTTGGCAATAACCGAGACCACGGCGTCCTGGTCGACAAACTTCATCGTCTCCAAGCCTCCTTCATTCACCGCCGCCACAACGTTGATACATCGGACACGGCGTTGGCCGTCTGCGGAAGTGTAAAGCAAAGCGGCCTGGAAATGCGCATCCAGCTTGGGATCGAGTTTACCGTCGTAGCTGAAGAGCACACCGATAGCCTTGTCGGCATCGACACTGGCAATCTCCAGATCCGCGCCGAGTGTGTGTTGGACAAAGTTTCCATGGTAGGCGGACACTTGAAGTCCGTTGGAGCATCGGACTTTCATCAGGGTCTGGTATCCCGTTTCACGAGTGACGGCATGAGCGATTTCACGTCGCAGCTTGAGGAGATCACGCGGGGCGTGGAAATTAGGGTAAAAAAAGGTCTCGCCTCCGGTGAGACTAGAGACATGTCCTATGAACCAAATTAGCTGATGCCCTGTATGGGATACAATGATGCGTTCAACTTACCAATGGTTGCCACATCGAGGTATGTGCCACCAGGGGCTGCCATGAAAAGATCCAAGCCCACGCCAGCTTCAGCTAACTTGCTTGCCGTCTTCCTCCAAGCTGGGTTTTCTGTGGTGAAAAGTTTCCGTTCAGCATCCGTTCCATGAATTTTAGGGTCTTCTCTGACGACCAAGTGTCCCGGACCGCAGGTAGGTAAGCTAGCCACCGCGCAGACAATCTTGCCACCTGTAGCCTGGAGTGCGGAGAGCGCCGAATTCAACGACGGCAGCAAAGCCGACTCGGTGTTTTTGATTGAAGAGAAGATTTTGGGTATCCGGCTGAGTAGAGAAGTGATCACAGACCTAAACATAGTTAGTGATTCGTAGGAGACTCGGAATGTGGGATCTCATACTTCGATTCATATGGGTCCACAAAGAGACCTTCGCTCAACGGCACAAATGGCTCATCCACATCGGTCATCACCATCATTTGCGCTTGATTCAATGCCGCCTAGGAACGTGTTAATAGACGAAAGCATCGCAGGATGAGGAACACATACGCTCAGGTTGTAGAAGTGCACCTCCTTATCATATGTAACAATGCCAACCTTCGCCCCAACGGGCACTTTTCGTGCTGATTCATCGCCTTCGGCGCCCTCTGATGGTTCATCATCGCCATACAAAGCATCCTTGATACCTGCACAAACGCCCTTGAGAAATCCCCGATGGACCGACTCCCGGCTGACATCGATCAAAAAGAGGGTTTGAAGGCCCACCGGCTCCTTGTTCCAGTATTCCTTCGGGACCGTAAACTCCACAGTTCCCATGAGCAACTCAGGACGCTGCATGCGATCCACACGCGCACCAGATGGGTCAAGCGGCGCGAAGTATTCGGGAGGTGTGTCGTTTGGGAACGTGCACATATTACAAACGAACTTGCTGCCGCCAGATCGGAAGGACATGAATGGATTGATATATGTTCGGCATCGTCGGCATCGTGGGGGACCAACATCCCCGAAGTCCAGCACGGGGATCGGTTGTTCGCCGGGATCCAGAGGCGCGAGGGGCTGCAGGATCATGCCCAATGGCAAGCCGGTTGAGATAAGGAAGTCAGAGGCGGAGGGGATGTTGTTGAGTGTTAAACGAGCATATTTAGGAGAGGAGTTGCCTTGGTCCTGAGCCACGAACGGGATCGCCGCCGGTGGAGGTAGGTGTCGATCCATAGTCGGGTAGACATGGTTGAAGTAGTACCGAGCGGGCAGGTCACGCGATCGCGGGATGCTGGGAATATGCTCTGGGTCAATTCGGCCTGAAGTAGGGACAGAACCTGCACCACTCTGCATCCCAGGTATGTCGGCCACAGACTGCCCAGATACTAACCCCACTGCCGGGGAAACTGGTCGGTCAGCATGTTGGTTCAAGCCTGTGTTCAGGAACTGCGATTGTGGCTGTTGCGATTGTTGCAAGCTTCCTTGGTCCATGCCGGTGTTGAATCCTTGTGCGGGGGGTGCTGCACCACCCCCAATGTCGTGGTGAGCATGACGGTGCTTCTTTCGATGTGTCCTGGCCCCCGCGTCTGCTGCAATCCCCAGCCCGCTCATCTGAGAGGCTAGGCCGGCCATACCAGGATCTCCTGCTGCACCCATCGCTTGTTGTGGTGAACCGTAGGCAGGCCACTGATTCGGCGCGGGGTTGGCGAAAGGCACTCCTGTCTGTGGAGGCGCGGCGCTGGGAGGATACCCAGCTGGATATTGCTGAGAGGGGGCCTGAGCCATGTATTGTGAATTGGAGGGGTCGTCGCCGGATCCCTGACCCATTGTGTTATACATTGAAGGGTCGGCCATGGTGAATCATGCCGCGGGGTGCGAAATTCGAGAGAGAGGTCACACAAGGGTGAATTTGAGAAATGGAGAGAAAAGACAAAAGTCTCAACAAATCATTACTTATAAAACAGAATTAGGGAATAACGAATAACAAAAGACTCCTATATTGACGATATACCGTATTGACCACCTAAACTCCCTCGGATTTACATACTTCCGAGGTTCTTCACGTGGGGCCTTCCCGTTGTCGCATCTTGGACTTGCTCTTCTTCTTCCTTCTCTTCATCCTTGAATGTTAACAACTAAAGCAGACTGCATCATCCAATTGCTTTGAAATTGCCAAATTTCTGACCTGTTCTTTCTTGAAAAAAAAGGATAAATTCTGTAGAAAGGACCGCTGTTGCTATTTGTCACCGCTCTGCATAACTCCGTGTTAAGACAGACCAGCCAGAGACCTTCCCACAGGTTGATGGCTCCGAAGCCATTAATGAATGGCACACATCTCAATATCCCCTTCTCTCCAATCACATCAGGTTTCCAACCCTAGCTCCGGCTCGTGATTCTTAGGGTATATGTATACATTGTTTTTCGTCATGTCCATCGCACCGTCTTTTTTTCGGCTTTGAGAGCTCCCGTCCAACCCGGTTTCCTGAGCCGACTCCCCTACCCCTACCCTGTACATTATAGATATAATACGCGAGTGCTGTAAGTTCGGAGATTTTCCTTTTCTGTTCCCCCCCTTTATATTCCCCTCCTAAGCTCCTTGCATGAACATTGGTTACATACTCCTAATCATGGGCCTGACCGTAAAGCCAGACCCGGATCGCAAGCCCAGGAGAGAAATAGTAGATACACCAGCCCCTCTTCAACCTACAATGGCGACTATTCACGATGATGATGAGCTGTTGCTTGCTCGCATCGGTTATAAGCAGGTATTGATGCCCAATGCTTTGTATCGATCATAGCGGGGCACAATCTGATAACGATCGACTCGAGCTAGGAGTTGCGACGAGAGTTCTCTAAATGGTCGACCGTCTCATATGCCATCTCTATTCTGGGAGTTCTTGGCTCCGTACCGGCGACATTTGGTTCGCCATTATCGGCTGGTGGCCCAGCAACAGCTGTATGGTGCTGGTTGATCGGATCATGCATGGCTATGTGCATTGGAAGCTCCGTGGCAGAGTTAGTATCGGCATATCCCACAGCCGGAGGTATGTACTTTGTCACAAAGCACGTCGTACCTCCCGATCAGGTCCCTATTTTCTCCTGGATCCAGGGTTGGTGTAACCTCCTTGGGCAGACGGCGGGAGTTTCCAGTGTGGCATATACGGTCAGTCAGATGTTGCTGGCCTGTGTCAGTATGAATTCGGAGCTTGTCGATGGCCAGTATTCGTACACACCGTGAGTTAGCCGGCCTCAATTGCTACTTTTCTACGCTAACATCATTCAAGCACGGCGCTAGAGACCGTTCTAGTGTCAATCGCAGTTCTATGCATTCTTGGGGTGATTTGCTCATTGACTACGAAATCCTTGCATCGAATAATCCTTTGGTTTGCTCCCATAAATAGTGGGTATCAAGAGAACTTCGTTGTTGAGCTTGTACTGATGAGTGAACAGTTGGGGCGACTATCTGCATTTGCATTGTGCTGATTACCCTAACTCCTAATCTACAGCCAGCATCCTGGGTCTTTGGCCATTTCACTGATGGCTCAGGGTGGGGCTCAAAGATCTTTTCTTTTTTCCTGGGCTTTTTATCTGTTGCCTGGACAATGACCGACTACGATGGGACGACGCAGTATGCGATCCTGAAATCCATTGCTACTGACTTGCATTCTGACCTTTCAACTTTATCATAGCATGTCTGAAGAAACCCACGATGCCGCCGTGCGAGGACCAGTTGCTATTCAAACAGCTGTTCTGGTGTCTGGGACACTTGGATGGCTCCTAACCGTCTCAATGTGCTTCTGTCTGACAGACCTTGATGGAATTTTAGCCTCCCCTACCGGTCTTCCCGCAGCTCAGATCTTCCTCAATGCTGGTGGCAAACGAGGCGGCACGACCATGTGGGCATTTGCCATTCTGGTCCAATTATTCACAGGCTGTTCAGCCATGCTGGCAGATACAAGAATGGCCTTTGCCTTTGCCCGAGACGATGCGCTTCCATTTTCAAAGTATGATTTTTCTGGCCTTTGCCCCGGATTCAAGTTCCTACTGATACATAATAGGTTCCTTTCCAAAGTCAATCTTCGCACCCACACCCCTATAAATGCAGTGTGGTTCGTGGTTATCTTCAGCGTAGGTTTGAACTGCATCGCCATTGGATCCACACAAACAGCAACTGCAATCTTCAACATAACTGCCCCGGCACTGGACCTGTCTTATGTGTCTGTCATTCTCGCCCATCAGCTCTATAAATCGAAAGTCAAATTCATCGAGGGCCCCTTTACGCTTGGCAAATGGGGTACCTATTTAAACTACATCGCTGTTGTCTGGGTCTTGTTCATCAGCACAATTCTCTTCTTCCCGCCACAGCTTCCTGTGACGCCCGCGAATATGTGAGGCACTTGAGTCCAATTAATGTCCCGTTATGAAACATCGTGCTAACATTTCCTGTCCAGGAACTACGCCGTCTGTGTTGGCGGCTTCATTGCCGCTTTTGCTTTGATGTGGTGGTGGGTTGCAGCTCGAGGGTAAGAGACGTCCAAGATTAACACATCCTTCGAGAATCGTTCAATCACATACTGACATGTCCTATTTTCTTTCTACAGAAAATACACCGGTCCTCAAACCGATGATATCATACGAGAAGTTCCCACCGAGGAAGATGGTAACGATGGTGGCGATGGCAACGATTCCGAAGAGTCAGGCGAGATTGCTGTTTAGATGGCTGACTCGTCTCTAATACAACGGCGACGACTTGTGGTTTCTTTTTCAGTTAATGGTTTAGACATAGATTATGCCCATGCTTGCCTGAAGTTCTGCGCATTTAGAATTGGCTTATTGGGTTAAACTTGTGCGTTGATGATGGACAGTGCTGTTTTTGAATTGAATGGTATCTGTGGAATTGAGAGAGATAAACCATTAGAAGAGAACTTTTTGGCTGGAAATCTTCTCGTGTTTAGAAGAAACAAGTGGCTATGAATGCTTTGTTGATCATGAAGCTATTCACCCGGAAAAGACTAGAAATACATGTCACGTGTGTAGCCTTAGCTACCTGCAACAACAGCCAGGCCCTCGTAGATTTTCCTTTTGACAGCAAGAAAGCTCCCTATTCCACGGCCACCAGGCCGAGCTAGTGAAGACTGTGCCGTTGCTTCAACTTCGATTTTGCCCGTTCCCGATTTGCGCACAGCTACGGATTTGTCAATGAGAAGTGTTCCCTCGCCTCGGAACTCGGCAGTGTGACCAGCAGATTGCATCAGCTTGCGAAGATCAGCCAATCGCAAGTCACCGACATGAAGAGGGCGAGCCATGGACCTGGTTCCTGCGGCCATACTAGCTGGGAGAGTGTCGAGTAAAGGATAGACGTCCACCTTATCGATTATTTTGGTGCCTGCCTGTTCCAATGATGGGGCAACAGCGGAAGAGGCTGCCTCGTCTTTCAGCTGCTTGACCTTCTTACCCGATGTTTCTATATCCCCGATGTCCGCAGGCTCTGGCCGTCGCAACTGTGCCGTGAGAGCGACCACGCCGAGGCTGCGAACGTGCTGCCAATTCAAGCGTCGAACGAGCGTGCTGCTCAGCTTGACCATCCACGCATTTGTATCGACACTTGCATCGATGACTTCGCCGTTTGCCGGAGTAAAGATGATGGCAGCCGAGTCAAATGCAGGGTCAGAAACCGTAGCACCGACCTTGACTGTCAGCAGTTTCTGGCATTCGGCTGCCAACGCTGAGGTCTCTTCCTTCATGCCACCAACCAGGATCAATTTTTGAGGTTGGATCAGTGGAATTAACATCTCCAGGCTGCGCTTGTCGTGCAAGCCCATGAAGTCGATAAACGCAATCCTAGCGTTGATAGTGATAGTCTGAGTATGGTAAACAACCTTCGCAGGACCTTCGAATGACTGGCCTTCTGTTTCGTCTTCGGACTCCGCAGCTACATCAGCTTCTTCGCCATCGGAGGCTAGGCTAAGATCATCATCTTCAATCTTCTTGCCATCAATTTGAGGACGCTTCCGACCTGCTGCACCGCCAGACAGCTTGCGTCCATTGGGGCCAGCGGTATCATCCCATCGTCGCTTCTGGCCCAGTTTAGTTTCAGCATCAGTGCGCCGTTGTTGCATATCAATCTCTTCGCGTTCTTCCGCTCGGAGATACTCCTCTGGGCGAATGAACTCTCCATATTCATCTCCCTTCTTTCTCGGTGCCACATAAGGGAACATGCGCTCGCGGCCCTTCTTGCCACGTACGTCATAATCATAAACGTTCTTTCGACGAAGAAGGATGTTGATGCCCAGGTCTTCATCGCTGACGGCAAGTTTGCTTCGAGTAGCATGTGCAAGTGAGGCTGAAAAGTTCAGCGCGCGACCCTGGTGTTCAGGATCCGAGTTTTCGGAAGAGGTAGAGCTCGATCCATCATCAAGGGCGTCTGCGGCAGTTTCAAGGGTTTCTTGGCCAAGTGTTTGAGAGGTGTCTTGGAGTTGGCGCTTGGTCGCGAGATATTGTTGGTATACCAACTGCTCCCCGGTATCGAGAGGGGCTCGCTGCACCTCTGTCCAAGACAATTCTCGTCCACCGCTGTGGACTTGTTCGATGTGTTCGCCATCCGATCCTTTCTCTAGAGCCACACCATCTCTTCGTTCCTCATACCACTGCCAAATCATGCTTCCAATTGTTGTTGAACTCTGTGATGGTTTCGATTCTTGAGTCTTCATGTCCTTGTGGAAGGACTCTGTTAGCAACAACAGATTGTTGGGCCCTTCGGCCACTTGTCGAAGCGCATCCTTTGAGAAGCCCCAGTCCATTGATGTATCGGATGCGAGAATTACTTTAGGTCCGGGTTCTGCCAAGAGCTTCTCTAATCGCTTCTTGCGCTCAATGATTTTGAGATGTTTGAAGGTAAATGGACCCCCGCCCTTGTTAGAGCTCTTTTCCTGTGCACCTGTCCTTTGCCCGTTCGTGACATCTGAGCTTTCCGCCGCTTCAAATTCACGGACAATATTCTCGTCCATCCACTCCAGCATGCTTCGGGCGAGTCGGATGGTGTTGGTGACCTTCTTGCCAGCCAGATATAACCCGGCTCCTTGAAGAACATCCTCTTTGTCGCCATTCGCGGCATCGCGCCAAGAATGTTCTAGTGAGTAAGCTAGTTCAAGAACTCGCGCACTTGTGTCTGTTGGGATGAGAACTGTTCCACCTTTTGCAAGGCTACTTCGGATCATGTCGAGTAGGAGATCATCTCGTTTCTTCCGACCCCCTGAGGGTGCCAGCTTATCGCCTCCTGTTGTACTGCAGATCAAGGCTGTGGGTTTCCGCAACTGTTCAATGACTTCGGTTCCACTAGCACCAGAGCCACCGAACCACGCAGCACCCGCGACTACGCTCTCACGAGCTTGGTTCCAATCCATTGCGTAGACAATGGATTCCAACCCATGCTGGATATGCCATATCGTTCCACCGACGGTGTGACCTGCATTGTATGCCGTGAGAGTAAGTCCGTTCAACGGCGGGGAGAAAGGTGATGAGAGAGGTTGGTGTGGTTGGGAGTATTTGAGTGGCTGAATGAGAGAGAAGTATCGAGAGATTTCCTCCGCTGTCGGCGATTGAAGCAGGATTCGGCTTGTGTTGCCAGCTGCTTCAGCATCTGCGCCTGACACAGTCGCAGATCCTGCTGACGATGCGCCCGGCTCTGAGACAGAAGCCTTCGGTAGGAATGTGGCAGCAAGCGGAGCGGAGGCATAAAGGTCTTGTAGGAGCGTGCGGCCAAAAGCGATGACGGGATTCGTTGCATAGATTGGGATTTGCGTAAAGAGGGGGAATGTTCGGCAGCAATGGACTAAAGCGCCAATATGAGCGGGCGTCGCGTGTGTCAAGAGAATGAGAGAAAGTGTAGGAATATGCCTGATTGTAATATTAGCTCATTTGAGTTCAAACAAGGAAACGCGGTGATCGCATGCTCACTTCTCAAGTTCCGCTAAATCAAGGGTATTAAACGTGTCATCCCAGCCAACGTCCACTAGGATCTTGATACCTCCATCAAGCTCTAGAATAGACTGCGATGCCCTCGAAGATGATGACTGAGCGCCAAGGAGGGGAGTGAAAGTGAACATCTTGGGAGTTTGCCGTTGCTCACGGCAAACCTAGCAGCCGCAATTGTTCTGGACCAGCGGTGCGGCGACAGGTCGGTCACGGTCAATGCAGCTGTATGCCTCGAGGTATTTGGTCAATTCCAAGATTGATCCATTATCCTAGCGCGTCAAACTGATCCGACTTTCGAACAAAAGTGAGAGATACCAGACGGCGGGTGAGCTGTTTGTTCGGTTTGCACGTGACGTCTGGCAACAAATATATCCACCGTCGAACCTAATGTATAGATCAAGTCCTTCGCTCAACACCTTTCAGGGATTTTTTCAACTAACAGCTACACCTGGATATGGATATCTTTTTACTTCTACAATGCCTCTCGGCATTTATTTGAGTTTTGCGCAGCCAATCGTTGTCTTGCGATGATACCATATTCTGCAACAGGACTGATGCAACTACGTTGGACAACATCCATGCTTCGCTCCAACCCAGTGTTGTAAGAATTTAATGAATGCTCATCTGAAAGATGATAAGGTCAAATGAAGTTACTAAAACTCAAAAACCTCAACCAAATCAATTCAAAAGGCATCAACTCCGAACCTGTACAACTCCGATTAAACGTCCATCCAAATCGTAGGAACATCCCAAAACTCCACTGCGAAATCATTGAGATACACAGCAGCTTTATCTAAACGATGACCACTGGGCTGAACTGACTGACTGCTCTTTTGCAGATGCTGGTCTTGGCCTTCTCTTACCTTGCCCCTTGCTCCGTCTTTTCGTTCTCGAGACCTTGTTGCGTGCCGCAGGCGTGGGTGTTATCTCAGTCTGATCCAGTTTGATCAGCGTAATTCTTAAAAAGATCAATGGATGGGGCACTTACTGGATCCCGCCATTGACTGAAAGGCCGATGTCTTTCAGCCCATGGTGGTAGCGTAGCGTCGACTATAGGTTGGATGGCATGGTCCACCAACTCCTCCCCTGCCCACACCCTGGCTCGACGAACAGCAAGAGGGTCAGGGAAATGTCTCGCTCTCTGAGCTGGATCCTTGAGATATGCCTTGGTCTGTTCAAGGAACCCATCTTGCAGATTGGGCGGAATCTCAGGACTAGGTGCGTCCGCCTGTGATCTTGCACCCAGCCGATTTCCTGTGGTAGTCTTCTTCAACAGTGCTACTGGTGGCTTGTCTGATATTTTCTCCGCTGCAGCTTCTTGATTTTCGTCCCGTTTTCCTTGTCCTACTCGTGCGAACGACATCAATGTTTCCATCATGCTCTCAGCCGCTGTTTTCCTTCGAGATGCAGGAGGTGATGGGGTTGATGGTGATTCCGTCCGCATTCGTTTACTTGATTCTGTGACCCCTCTTGTTTCGAGTTCTCCTTCTTTCTGTACGTCTTCCAGTGCCTCCAGCACTGGGGATAGCTGTGCTTGGCGCTTTCGTTCCGACGTTTCGCGAAGTTCAACCCCGCCTAATCTTTCAACTTGAACCAAATATAAGCATCATTGACTGGGGTGACAGATAAACAGATTGACTCACAATTCCTTCGCTTCTTCTTAAAATACCTCGCAATCTGTCCAGGGCTGAAGAGCCCATCATGGGACACTGGGGACAGGCTATTCGTCGATTGAGCGCTAAGATCGTCAGCGGCGTTGAGCTTGTTAGGCTCACTGGCCATGGAAGAAGTGCTGACCTCGCTGTCGGAGCCAGAGCCAGAGAAAAGGCTATTAGGTGACTGTTCTCGAGAACCTTGAGCTGAGCTTGACTCAACCTGAACATCATCGGTGTCACCAAAGATTGAGCCTTCTTCTAGATTCCATCAGTTAGCATATTGCCCGACTACCAGTACGCAGTATGTTATCAAATTGATTTCACCCTCTTCCGTAAAAACGTGACACCCTATCAAAAGACTGAACCCAGACGCCGGTTTGGGGGGGGGGGGGGGGGGTTTCTTTTATAGCTCAATTTGTCTCACAGTTCAGTTGAAACACTTGCATACCATTCAAAGTGTCCATTGACACACTCATAAATCAATCAATTTGATTGTCTTGAATGCACACAGGAAAAGGAAAAATTCGTGTCAAACTAGGTACATTTGTACTCACCATGTGCAATTTTTTCATCGTTTCCAAGAGGCGTAGGGGTTGTTGGTTCCGAATAAATGCCCTCTGGATTTAGTTCCAGGTCAGACTCCCCAGTCATAGATGACCTCCTGGAATCGACTAACTGAACTTCTTCGCTGCCCTGATTACTGCCCCGTTCGCTTTCCGGGTCCAGACTTGCAGAGCGCGAAGCAGTGGGCCATTCCATCAAACTCGGTCGATTAGAGATGTTGTAATCCAAGGCATGCGGATAGGGCTGCACCATGTGATCAGTGTGTGCTCGGACTGCCATTAACGGACGCTCATAGTCCCGGAAGTAGAAGGCCGCATCACTTGACTTTCGACTGGTTTGCTGGGAGGATCCTGTCGCAAAGTACCTTGTGATGGGAATTGGGGGCAGAGCTGGGTGCCATTTGCTCCCAACGGTCACAGCCTTGGGCAAGGGGCCCTGGGCCAGGGATTCATAGATCTGCTCTCGGATCTTCGTATCGGCAAGCGTATATTCGAGACACAAGTACGCAAGTTCGTAAAGAGCTGGGTATTCCAGCCCGGCCCATCTCTTGAAGTTTCCTTCTTCGAAGGTCCAGTGTAAATCTCCAAAGTCACTTGAGCTACCTATCCTCCTGAAGGCATGCCGATTGGAAGGGACTTTAATGCTTTCGCTCTGAGTGATGACCCATCGAGGCTGCGGTGCAGTGCCTCCGATATAGATGTGGGGTAGAGGTCTGTTATCTTCGTTCTCTAGACCTTCTGGAACATCAGCCTTCCTCATGTACTCCCATTCTCCAAATTGTAAATCTGCACGCTTTTCTTTGGGAGGACCCATTTTCACATAGAGAGTGGGATGATTCGCAGTCTCAAGCTTGCGTCTTTTGGCCTGTGGCTCATATTGATCTTTCTCGCTTTCTTCATTTTGATTTGTTGAAATCTTTACGGTAGCTGCGCTAACTCTGCCCTTTGTGGCCTTCGCCTTCTTGGCAGCTTTGGTGATTTTGGTGATGTTGGTGGCTATGGCCTTCACAGCGGTTGCACGCTTTGTACTTTTGCCAATTTTGGCATTGGCAATCTTCGCGGCCTTTGCAGCCTTCGCTGCGGCCTTCTTCGCATCATATAGCCGCTTCGCTGCCTCCCTCTTAGCCTTCTTTTCCTCCTTCTCCTTTTTTATTCTGGCAGCTTGGGAAGCCTTTTCAGCCTTGGAAGGCTTAGCCGGAAGAGGCTGGGCCTTTGGTCGAGTGCCCATAGCCATGGCTCGTGTTGTAACCATAATTTAGGGTTGACCGATGGTCTTCCGGTCTGTTTTGATTTATTAACTAGAGAACTAGTAAGAAGATACCACGAAGGCCATACTTGCTATCAGCTGGTGCTGTTATATTAATGATGATTGGATGATTGGTCTGGTGATCGAAGTTTCAAGTCAAGAAAGTCGTGATGGCGTTCGTGATTGATGATTAAGTTGGACATATCGGCTCCATATAAATAGAAGACGGAGTTGTGTCCCTTATTCGTGTTAGTAGACAAAGCAGGAGCAGAGAGCGACGGAGAATCATGCAGATACTAACCAACACAAAGAGATTTAAAAATATCTTTTCGAGCTCTCTTCTTTGTTGGCTGCGCCCAGCTTACTATAGGTGCCCCGAGGGCCTTGCCAAAGAGCATTTCAGGTCTATCTTGATACAAAGTTCCACTTCGTGAAATCCGAAGTTGCTTTGGCTGAAATTAATCAGGGTTGCTCAGAGCTATCAAGCAGTAGGTGTATAATCTTGTCGACCCTATTTACGCTATGGGGATTTGTTTACTTGGCATCACAGTCTTGTAGGATTGCAGAAAATCAACGCTAGCTCGCAAGGAAGCCAAAAAGAAGTCACTAGAACAGACTAAGTAATCCAAGCCACCGATGTTGAGCAGCTCAAAGAAAGGGACAAGACCATCATCCAACTTCGCACGGCGCATGGAAAACAATGAATAATGTTCAGATTTTGGGATTTCAAATCAACAAATTGTCTCAGAGCAAGTTCGACAAGTTTTCCCGAACAAACTGGGAAATGGGGAATTACGAAGGGGGGTTAGGGCTTGCCTCCAAGTGGGGATGTTAACCAGCCATTTTCCACCGAGGAGAGAAAGCTGACCAGGTGAGAATGGACCGGGTTAGAGTCTGTATTTGGCAATGGGCCCCCTCCTTTTCTATCCCGAAAGTGCTTCTCAAACAAAGCATAGCGCATTTGACTCGAATCCAACGATACAAAGACCTTTGAGAATAGATGAGTCTGTGCGGTGATGAAGGAAGAGTCGAATCTTTCCAAGTAATGTAATCAGAATGGCCGTTGGAATGCACTTGGGCAGACATGCTACTTGATTGTTATTGTGCAGTGTTGAATTTTCGAAGGCTCCAGATCACATGCTAAAAAAGGAGGATCGATTGAAGAGAAAAAAAACCGAGCAGTAGATTATATCAATTGGGATTGATCTGATTGACTGAGTTAAATTCAAACGGTCTTTTATCGTGGCCGGGGCTGGTGTTCGCGGACGCCTGTCAGCACAGGACAAAGGATACCTGGAAGTCATCAGCCAGAACGATACGAAAGAGCCGTCTTTAATGTATTTTCAGTTTAGAAAGCCTTGTAATTTTTTTCAACATCATGACACAAAGAGGATCATCATGGCGGGGGGGAGGGCTGTCTCATGAACTTGTCGATATGGTTGCTGCTAGGACTCCCACATAATTCTTGGTTTCCGAGTTTGGCAAAGTGACCAAAGCAGAGACGTAAGGAAAATGCCCTGGCACTACTGAAAAAACGATTGGGGGCAATGTACAGATGACCAGTTATCGATTGAAAGGATACAGGACCACGCATTTAGAGGGTTCCCTATCCTATGCACTATGGGGGATGCAATACATTAACTATCCGTCCCTCAACCCATGCAATGTACGAGGTGGTAGGAGGCCGAGAAGGACGAGCAAGAAGTGAACACTGGTGGAATAGAAAAACTACCATGAAAAAAAACTCTCATAATTCAGTTTCGCTAGATATGTGGGCATTCCCGAAGATAGCGGGATGTCTGCTCCTTAGTCACGCCATGATATGGTAGACCCATCAACTGTAATCTTCTTCAGGCAGACCAACTATTGCCAGTACCTGGGCTCGTCGAAGACGTGGTAGCGGTGTCCGCGCACTCCCTGACCGCGGAACAAGGCTGGGAAGCGGCGACCAACAGGGACCATTTCCTCTGGGATACGCATCTCAGTTTCGGGCTCGGGCTCGCCAATGACGAACTTTCCAACCTAGATTAAACCGTCAGAAACTAAGCCCGCCTGGGAGAAGAAATAAAGAAACAAGGTTACTTACCTGGATCTCCGTATCCGTAATGGTGTCACGACTGATTCTGGCGTAGCCAGTGCGGTGCAGCTTCTTGAAGAGAAGGTACTCGCACCATCTATCCCAGTCGGTAGGGTCAATATCCTTCATTTGGCTACGCTCGCTCACGTAGGTGTTGTAGTTACCCTCGAGCGGCTTGGTGACGAGGTAACTCAACAGGATCAGAGGACGCGGGGAGTCGCCCATCAGCTTTGACAGATACTCGCTCTGCAAGCGGCGGTCCTCGGGATCCTCTTCCTGTCCAGAGTGGAACACAACAACATCAATCATCTCGCCGTACATGTCGAGTGTGGCGTGGATTGCAGGTGCCAGCTCACCCACGGGCGAGGGGAGGAGGTGGTGCGTAGAGTTGACGATGGGGAACTTGGATAGCAAGGCAGAGCCCCAGGTGTGCTTGTTGGGACCGGGACCGAAGTCAGTGTAGTAGCCAAGATCCTCGGCGATGAACTGTGTGACATCCCTGTTGCCCATGATGATACGCTGGTTATCAGATTCAAGGAAGCCAATGACATCCAACTCAAGCTCACTAATGACGTCGCGCATGCGGCGCTCAGATGACCACATGTTGTTGTCAAGGCCGAAGTGGACAGTCCAGATGCCAGCAGTCACAACCTTGTCCTCCTTGTGATGAGGGGTGTAATCATTGGTCGGGAAGCGAAGGTAGGCGATAGACACGGAAAGCAGTTGCAGTACAGCAAGAACATAGATGTAGTACGATCGTTGTTTCCTGCTATTGGGGTTGATGGGTTTGTGAGCCCTGCGGGAGCGAGTCGAGTTCGAGGTCGCCGCAGAGAAAACACCCGCACCGATAGACAGCATTGTAGTGGTCATGAGCCAGTCAGTGTGTTCACGAAGCAACGGGCCACCTGGCACGAAGGCATAGGCGACAACCCAAACGTGGAAGAGCAAAAGGGCCACATAGAGGATGAAGCCGATGCCGAACGTGCTCGCAGGAGAATGACGAACGCTGGACGCGATCAGAACGGGAGCAACGGCCATGATATAGAACGCAAGAATAAGGGCACCATAGAATCCAGTCCAGTGGTGATAGCAAGTAAGGAGTGCAGCACCAGTGGAACCGACACCAAAGGCAGTCCAGCTTCCAGCGATTCTAGGGTGGAAGATGCCGAACACAAGGCCGGCTCCCATTGCAAAGATCGTCAGAACACCGTGAGGAGCTGCGAGCGGTCCGCGCACCGGGTATCCGTCCCAGACCCACGAGATCATGGTACTCGAGTCAGTCAAAAGTGATACTATGGCGAACATCAGAGCGCCAAACCCAACACCAGCAAGAATGGACGAGCCCTTCTTGCCACCAACTGGCAAATGTTCACCGCCGCTCCTGTTTGAACCTCTCTGGGACCTCAAAACAGCGAGCAGAGCAATGAAAATTCCGGTTTTGTTCCAGCCACCATTCTCGGCGTGGACGATTGGCCAAAGGGGGTTGTTGGTCTTACATGCGAACTTGGCAACGACGGACAGAATCAGACCGATTCCCCAAGCCATTATACGGGCTTCGAGACGAGGGGTGTTGGCCCTTTCGGCAAAGAAGCTAGCGGACCATGCTGCGCAAGTAGTAGACAGAGCAAACCCAGTCACAAAGAGACGGTTGGCAGGATCCTGGAATTTATATCCAAGAAGACCAACGAGTGAGACCAGGTGGAGAAGGCGGAGATTATTCACCGCTGCGTGTCGTAGGGATGGGATGACGTAGAGCAACGGGGATGTGCAGCAAACAATGGCAACCTCATATCCGGAGATACCCATGTGCCAGAGAGGGAAGTCTATCAAGATCAGACAAGTCTATCCGTACCAGAGAATAGATATCACTTACACCAGACAAGGACAGGCAGAGCAGTCACAATGGTCCAGAAAACAAACTACAGTCCATTGTCAGTAACGCAGGAGACCAAAGACCAACTGGCATTATTTACCCCGTTGTAGACATCTGAGGCGGCATCAATGATCTCAGCCCAGAAGAAGCCCTCGCCAAAGGTGTTGCCCACTGGCTTGCCCTTCCTACGTAGGTGGTTAATTTCGAGGATGGTTGTTGTTGGTTATGGGATTGTACACACTCTTTTTCCAAGACAGCATCTGCAGTCGTTTTCAATTGCCTAATGAGCACGAACTTAGAAATGTCTTCTTTGTTCAAAACCAATATAGCCTTTGGCACTATACATTTGATGCGGGCAGTGTCATTTTGGAAGCCACGGTACATACCCTCTGCTAGCACCCTTAACATCCCTCACCACCAGTTCAAAGCTCTCGAAGTCAAGAGCCGTGACAGCATCAAAGCCGACATCGAATAGGATTAGGGACCATTCAAAGAAGGCATATTTGGTGTAGGCTGAAGGTACAACTGATTAGCATGTGTAACCCCCAACCAGTCCATGCTCACAAGGGCAAGTACTCACCACCAGGGACCTTGTGGACCTTGTGCTGAATGAAGTAGTAGATCAACGGAACCAATGTTCCAAAGAACAAACTTGCCATGATTTTGCGGTACTTAACGGCACGGCGGTTGTTCGGGCTGAGCGCAAGGCAACCCAGGGTCCACGGCAAAGTGGCCACCAAGTAAGAGATCATGAAGATGTCATGCCAGTCGTGGTCATCGGTAGATGTAACATAGGTCCAACCACCGCATGTCAATGTTCGGAAGATGCCCACGCCGGCAACAAACTTGGGTAGGGATGAGTTTGGACGCGAAGTGAGGATGTACCATAGGAACACAAGGGCGAAGCGAGGACCGGAAGTGATAGCAATAAAGACCTGGAAAAAGGAACGTTCGGGATATCGGTCACCGATCGTCGCAGACACCGAGGGGAACCATTCAATGGGGTAGCCGTAATGTTCATTTTGAACGATCTTGTGATAGTGCAACGCAATGCCGACAATCAACGCGCTGATGAACGCCGCATACGCGAAGACGGTGTGAGTCCATGCAACCCATTTGCCGTTGATCTGCAAAAGATATCAAGTCAGCGGTGTGTCGAGATGCGCATCGGATTCCGCTTTGGAACTTACGGCAACCACGGCATCTCCGTCCTTGTATCGGGGAGCCATGGCGGCGCAGAGGTAAAGGCAATCTCTGCACCTATATGATAAAAAAAGCAAAAATTGAGGAAGAAAGGAGCGTCAAGAAAAATAACGAAAGGAAATTACGACTCAAACAAGATGTCACAAGCAAACGGCCCCTGAGGGAAATGAAAACAACGTCCGGATCCCTCGGTGATTGCGAGTTAAATGTACGCTAACCCAATACGGCTAAGCGCACCCTGGGGCTGATCGGTGTTTTTTCAATGCGGGATGCCGACTTTTTTTTTAAACCTCTTCAGTGAACAGCAATCATGTCCGCCGCCACAGATAAGGCTCGATTCTTCCTCGAGAAGTCAGTACCTGAGCTCAAGGAATATGAGCGCAAGAAGATTTTCACAAAGGTAAGCCGCAAAGTGGAGTCATTCCATCAGAATTACAGCTGATCAGCATAACCAGGATGAAATTTCCTCAATCGTCAAAAAAAGATCTGATTTCGAACACAAGCTCAATGCGCGCGGTGCGCAGCCGGTGGATTTTGTGCGTTATGCTGAATATGAGATGAACCTCGATGTGCTGCGAAAGAAGCGGGTGAAGCGACTTGGGATTCGATCGGCAGGATTCAACGGCCAGAGACGCATATTCTTCGTTCTCGACCGAGCTACACGCAAGTTCCACGGCGATATCAACCTGTGGGTTCAGTACATAGAATACGCTCGCAAACAAAAGGCACACAAAAAGCTCCTCATGATTTTCACCGATGCTCTACGACTTCACCCTACCAGCGCCGACTTATGGGTATACGCCGCTAAACACGTCCTTGATGACCACGGAGATATGACACAAGCCCGGAGTTACATGCAGCGCGGTCTACGATTCTGCAAGAGCGCGAGGACAATTTGGATTCAATACGCAAAGCTGGAATTGATCTACATCGCAAAGCTGGTCGCTCGCCAACGGATTCTTGGTCTTGATGAGGAGAGCCAGAAGCCCAAGCCGATTCAAGAAGCATCACTCGACGACACCGATGCCGACATGATTGCACTGCCATCACTCACAGCTGAAGATATCAATCCCAGCACAGGGGCAGACGGAGAAGTAGACCAGGTTGCGCTGCAAAACTTGAATTCCACGCCTGCTCTGAGCGGTGCTATCCCGCTCGCCATCTTTGATGCTGCCACAAAGCATTTCCACAATGATGATAGGTTCGGCCAGGAGTACTTTGATATGGCTTGGGAATTCCAGGATGTGCCTTGTCTTCGCAAAATTCTGGAACATGTGGTTCAGACAATGCGCGCCAACAAACCTTCCAGCCCACGGACGCAGATTTGCTACATCAAGTTCCCGACCGCTGGAATCCCTGTCACTTCGGCCGACTTCCCGCGGGCGCTTGGCAGCTCGCTTGCTCGCCTCAGGGAGTATCCCATGGGCAAGGATCTCGCACGCCAAGTGATCAACTGGCTTCAACCTGTTCAGGCAACAGAGGACCTGGATCCTTCTTTGCAGAAGGTAATTGCGGCTACCGCCCGTAATGCGGAGCGCGCGGCACAGGAGTAGCATACACATAGCATACCCAAGTATTTGTACTTAGCACTTAGGCGTTGATCGGATATTATCAAAAATTCAGGGTCCACTGGCGAACTTGTCACTACGCTATTATCAGGTGGTTTGCACGATCATCATCAATCATCGTATTTGCTTCCCCGGCGACTACTTTTCTTGTCGCTGTGTTGTTTCTTGTCTTTAATCCTACCTTCGTTTTGAGCCCTTTGTCTGTATTTTCCCTCGTTAGATCTGCTCAATTGCTTCCACAAATAAGAAAACATACAACTTTAGCACGCGATTCCTTTGCGCTTGGGATGTTTCCCCGGGGATCACTTCCTTGGCCGAGCTCTGTAATAGCTGATAGAGCTTGTCATAGCAGGATTCCACATTGTCAGACTGTTTCCGCTCCTCGTCTGACTGGATGACTAGACATTGAGTTCTTTCGGCGGTATATCGGGAAGCGCGTAGTGGCAGGTGTATCAGACGAGGCACCAAGGGGAGCAAGGCGTCCAATGGGACTTTCAAGGTAGCCTTGGAGTTGACCCTGCTTCCCTCGTTTCCGAATTAGCATACCAAAATTCAGTACTATTGATCTTCAAGTGGGGACACTGACTTGTTCACATTTTGCCCGCCCGGACCGCTGGATCGACTGAAAGAGACCTCGCTGATGTTGCGGGGGATGGTCTTGGAATTGAGAGTTTTGAGCCAGTCCCTGGCTCTTTGTACATCTTGTTCAGCTTGAGTCACAAATCGTCGCAAGGGTAGTGCCCGAAGGCATTGTATACGCCATTGGCAAAACATGAGGGAGGCCGGTATAGAAGAAACTGGAGAGGTGGAGTGTGACTAATAAAAACTTCTAAAAATGCAAGGCCGTTTCGTGCGTGGTCTAGCCCCGCTTAGCGTATGTTGTACGAAGCTTTTGTTTAACTGGGAGAGTGATTTTAGAGTGATTATAGCGATTAGGGTGATAGGAGTAGTTGAGGTGGTTAGAATGATGCAGTGATACCTAGGTATACTCTGTAGTGATTTCTTAAATCGTGATTCCATAGTGTGTTATAGTTACATCAACCATTGCTCTACATAGATTTACCAGTGTGGAATACTGTATTTTCTCTTCCTCCATGAATGTATCAAAAACAAAACCAGAAGCCCATACCTTATCCTCGTGATACTGCAGTGGACATCCCAAATCCATCTCAACGCCTCCAACTGCTCACCTGACAAGCTTTTTTTTTCCTTATTCCCACTTCTCACTAGCACACCCCCACCTAACTCCTCTATTTCCTTCTTCATCGCCTATTTTTCTTTCTTTCTACTTTTCTCCTTTCCCTCTTGGGTGAGGTTTGAGAAATCCGACCCATCTTTTTCTCATCGCCCCACCTTAGCTTGCGATTGCGAAAATTCCAAGGGTGACACTTCCCATTCCCCGAGACTTTTCCTCCGTAGATGAAACCATCTTCCTCTCGAAGTCTACATGACGCCCAGTCCCCCCGATGAAGCGCATCACTTTCGCGGAAAGACTCTGACTCCAGAAAGCCCTCGACCCCTACATATCCCAGAGCCATCCAATATCCCAGTCTTAGAGAACCAAATGGACCCGGTCTTTAACGATACTTCCACCTATGAGCGCTCGGTGTATAAGCAGGTCCTGCAAACACACGATGGATGGTTGCACGGAGGGTTGAAAGATGCGGGGGAACAGAGTCAGACCCAAGATGCTGGTAGTTTTCATGGTTCGCAACCGAAGTGTGGGATGCAGAATGAAATGATTGCTTCTGCGTACTACCCTCCCAACCCAGCGTCAGGGTCCGAAAATCCTGGCCATCAGAGCTCAGGTTTCTCTCACCCCGACTCCACTTGTTCCCACGCTGCTCCGATTGCTCCGGTATCCCAAAGCTTTGCCACTGGGAACGAAGTAGATCATGCCCACAACCCGGAGCAGTCAAGCATGCCGGACCGCCTAGTTGCTGAGGAGCACGGGGGACATTATGCGGGAGGTATCAATTTCCAGCAACTCCTCGACAATCTTTCTCAGCCCAACCCCGGTGCAACCACTCCCGCTGTCTCTTCCGCAGAGAACTCGTCTTACCACCAAGCACCCGCTGGCGAGTCCCTCAAATCCCAGGGCATCCCTGCCCCCCCTCAAGCCCAAAGCTACGGTTCTATTCAGGCCCATTATACTCGAACTGGCGAGGTGGCATATCACCAACTTCCCCATGATGCTGTTGCCACTGCAATGCCTGCCTACTCAGCCCAGCCTTGTAAAATCCAACTCCCAAACCAGTCTCAGCCATTTACCATTGCTTCGGGAGAGCACTTGGCTTTCAACAACCTACCTCCTCCTATTGCCACCTACCCGCAAACTCCATCTACCGGTGCCGAATCTCAGGGCTCTTTGCAAGAGCCTTCTGTAGCCTCCAAGAAAGGCCGTGTTGACAAGCAGGGCCGACCTATCAAGCTTTCTGATGATGATGCGCCCTGGGGACCAGAGGTTCAAAAGAAATATGACGAGTTTCTGCACGATGAGCGGGTCTATGTGACAGAAGGTCTTTGGGATCGGTTCCCGATAGGCTCCAGGCTGTTTGTTGGTCGGTCTTTGTTCCCGCTTATATCTATCCTTCTTCGATCTAACGATTTCAACATATGCAGGCAACCTTCCTACGGAAAGAGTCACCAAGCGAGACATGTTCCATGTCTTCCATAAGTACGGCAAACTGGCTCAGATATCGATCAAGCAGGCATACGGCTTCATACAGTTTCTGGAGGCGAGTTCCTGCCATGCGGCTCTCGGCGTCGAGCAGGGAGCCACCGTGCGGGGCAGGAAGATACGTGAGTGCACGAAGCTATAAAAGCAATCTTTCTCTCACAGAAAGACCTAACTGTCCCCAGATCTTGAAATTTCAAAGCCACAGCGATCGGCCCGACCCGTTCAAGCACCCGAAGCTTCCCGTGCACCGCCGCCACGTCGTTCTCGGTCACCGGAGTTCAGCCGTGCCGGTTCTGGCCGAACTAATGCTCGGGCCCCAGTCGATCGATACGACCGGTCTAAGCCCTATGAAGCAAGTCGGCTTCCATTCAGTGATTTCCGGGATGAACCTTCTCATCGCAGCAGACGCGACGATTATCGCCTGCCGCGATCGCCTTCCCCGCGACCCTTTCGGGGGTCTAGAGATGGGTATCGGTCGCGCGACAGAACCCCGGAAAGATTCGATCGTCGCGAGCGAAGGCGCTCTCGTTCTCCACGTTCCCCTCGCTCTCCTTATTCCAGAGATCGGCGTTACCGCAGCATCAGCCCGAGACCCCGTGGTGTCTATGAAGGCGAAGCAGATTTACCTGTGCCTCGGCGAGCCCAGCGAGACGTACCAGAGGTGCAGATCCTGGTGCTGGAGGAACTTGACAGGTGGGTTCAACACCTCGAGGTCTCTCTTAGACAAAGTTACTAACGTTGCGAAGAAACTTCGTTCTTCATGTAGAGAACGCTTTCCGCAACCGTGGGTTGCGAGTAGATGTCCTAGTGCTTGGCCCACGGATCCCTCTTGGCGCTGCCGTGCATCGTCAGTTTATTGAAGGTGTTCTTGCGGTTGTTCGCCTCTCTCGTCCGAACCAAGTTTCTCGAAAGATTCCTCTACAGCTATTTGATCGAACCGCTGGATTGGATAATGTCCGCTTCCTTGGTAAGCACATTCTGCGTTTGCTTCTTCATCGACGCCTTGCTCATCTCTCGTCTTCTTATAGATTACCCTGAGCTGGAGCCTAACATGTCTGCTGAACTCCTGAGCCACCAATCCCAAGCAATGCAGCGAGGAGCAGCACCAACTGCATTTGCACCCAATCCTAGTTTCATCATCCCTCCTGCACAGCCTATGCCGGTCCCTCCGCCCGGCTTGCCTGCGCTTTCAAATCCACCCAACATAGCGAACCTCATTGGTTCACTTGATGGTCCTAGCCTTTCAACGCTCTTGGCGGCGCTCCAGCGACCTCCCCATTCACAGCCCGTGTCCGCTACTCAGTCGCCCTTTTCCTCACCAAACCCACCTCCTGCCGATCTCGCCAGTCTCCTGACCAACGCGCATCGGCCTCCACCCATGCAAACCATCCAACAGCAACCCCTTCCTCACCTACCCTTCAATCTCCAGTCTGTAAATGCACCCATCATCACCGATCCAGCTCTACTCTCGCTCCTGGCCAAAGGACTAGGTGGACAACAGCAGCAAAGCCAGGGACCCGTAGGTCCCCAGGTACAGAATCTGATGCAGCACCTGGCCAAATGGAAGCAATGATTTTACGATTCTCTTACTATCTATCATTTTCATTCGAACTTAAGGTTCATCTTGTCATCGTTCATTTTCGGAGCTTGGCGTTTTTGCATCCCTACTTTGTGGATTTTAGTGCTCTGCTTCGAGGGCTTTTTTTCTGGCTGGCCAAAAACCAGTTTTCGCAACATCAGGCGTTTCATTTTCTTTCCCTTTTTGCTCTTTGCTTCTCATCTGTTACAAACGCAGTAGGATTATTAGGGAGATATTAAGGCAAGGCGGTATCTAGGATGGAGTTGACATGTCTTTTCAACCATTGGGCTCTTGCCCTTTGTGATTACTGATTTCCCACTTTGGGACATAATGGGTTGTTCTCTAAATACATGGTTTCGGTTATATCATTGCCGGATTTCTCTTCTTTGGCATCAAAGGGTGTACTTAGGCCACTCGACCACACTCTCTCTGCTAGAGGCTTTTTAGGGCCGACACATAGTCGAGCGCGGTTTCGCACCTCGACGAGATTTACGGACATTTGCGCATTTTTAATGAGAATACTATTATAATTATAGGCAGCCATAGTTTGGTAGTAGTTTTCCAAGTCTTGTGTCATATATCCTAGTCGAGCTGTAAGATATGGTAGAAGTCATCCGAAACACGAGGTGCACACAGTCTCATACAACATGTTGCAGTGATATAAACAATGACGAGCTCTCGATCTCAAAGCTTAGGTTATACAGGACATACATAGAGCAAGCAAGCTATCCCAGGCTTGCAGTTTCCAGCAATGCACCTTTGAAATGGAGTGGTCATCAAGGTACGTGATAAGAGAAGGTATGCTACATATTGTACAAAAGCCGCCGACAAAGCCCCCCTAGATTTTTATTTCGAATTCCAACCCTTCTCCTTCAACTCCTTCACCTTGGCTGCATCCTCCTTTTGAATGCGCTCAATTGTCTTGTCCCGGTTGAACTCCATCACACGCTTTTCCTTGAAGTATTTAACCTAGTAGACGCCAAGAATCTCAAGGTCAGCCATCTGTAAACGAACCAAAAAACGTATACCAAGCCAGGAAACACCAAAAAAAATGGCAGTTCTGAGCAGTAGATCAAATATCCAATCGTACGTACCCAGCTTTGTGAACATGCTGCCTCAAACTCCGCGACCTCGTTCGCGCACTTCTGTCGCGCCTTCTTATCATCTTTGATGCCGTCTAGGATATCGTTCTTGTCAAGGCAGGCGAAAAATAGATCACGGCCCTCCCAGCAGCGTGCACGACTCGTTCGATCTGGGGCAATGCGGCCGCCGTCGGAGGCTGCGTTCTTGTCTGAGTCGCCGGAAGACCAAGGTAGCCAGCCCATTTTGGAGAAGTAATTGTGTCGGAGAGGTAGCAAGTGAGGAATTGACTCGTTGAGTTCAAATCAGTAGAGAATCCTGTTGGTAGTGAGTTGTGCAGCCAAAAGGTGTCAGTGACGGCAGGCGCCCAGTTGTTGGAGGGTCGGGCCTGTGACCGCCAAGACTGTTGATCCCAGGCAGACGATCTCCATCACCAGTCCCTTTTTCATTTCCGCACTCCACGTCCTGAAATTTACATATAATTTTGAAGCCTCCGGCACCGGATACTTTTCGTCCGTGAATTACACTTAGGACGCCTCCTTGAATAGCATTGCATGTTCCCTTTCCTTCGCCTCCACCATTTTACCCTCGTCCTTAACGCCGAGCTCAATCCGACCACCTTGACACCTCAACACTGAACGGAACTCACGAGGGTGACAAGACCCCCCATTCTCTATCTAGTTGATGTCCGCGCGCTGGCGTCCGCCAGCGGGGTCGCGCACCGAACTCCCTCCGCTGAAGATCGTCCGCAAGATTCTCCTGCTGCAGCTCGCATACTATGCCTGCGCCACGGTGCTCATCTTGTTCACAACAGTTGTCTATGGCACACCGTTCTCGCTAGACCTAGTCTTTGGCTGGGACTCCCTGCGGGGTGATACGACCATTGGATGGATGTTGGGATTAGTGTGGATGTTAAATTGCTTAATCAGGTGAGTTGTCCAGGTTCGAATATTGTGAGCAGTATTCCGGTCAGCTGGCTAACTGTGCTCCTTTCTCGGGTTACTCAGCGTCATGTCCCTACTAGTTTTTGTATCTCGCTCAAAGCTGATCCCGGATTTCGCTCTGACGATCCATTTCCTCCACCTCATCGCCACTACTTTGTACACCCACTCCCTCCCTTCAAACCTACTTTGGTGGGGATTGCAATTCGCCAGTGCAACTATGATGATCTTTCTCGGTATGTGGGCATGCCAGAGACGGGAATTGGAGCCTATCAAGTTTGGTGGACATGGTGGCAGCACCCAAGCTAGCTCATCGTCACAGGCATCTGCCGGTGATGGGCAGCAGGAGTCGAGCTTTGGCCGCGGCCGCGGTCGAGAACGCAGCTTGCAAGAATATGAAATGGATGATATGAAGCACACGGGCGAACATGCTGTATAAATTCGCCCCTGCTCGCTCCCTCGCCCCATCGTTGATGTTCCCCGTTGGGGCTATGAACGCCTTTTTGCTGCCATGTTATATCTTTTGTTTTCCTTCTCACGCTTCGGCCTACCATGCATAGTTTGATGGATATTTTTCTTTTTTGTATACCCTTGCGACAGTTGCATCTGTATAGTTGGCGTTTGTTCTGAAGGAATTGATTTTCATTCTCATTTGTTCAATACTTGTTGAAATTAATAAACGTCAGTTCTGTACTATTCTTTTCAGTCAGCTAATCTGACGAGCGACATGAGAAACATTCGTGTACGATCGTTACTTCTTCAAAAGGGACACTGTCCCTCATTGTACCCAAGGCTAGCATCTGTCCCAACGAAGCTCAAATGCAACTGGGTGAGGTTTAGAAATGCCTTTCACTTTGCGAGGCTGCCTTCAAAGAAACAATTTCAAAGGGCAGTAGTGCGACGCAAGCTGGCCATTGTCCGATAATAGCAAAGATACATACCGTGGCAGCCGGTTATGTTCCAAGGGGCTAAGTAGACAATTTCCGAGCCAGCAAGAGAGATGGCAAGCGGCAATGCAGCACAGGAAGTCAAGAGAGCAAATCATCAACCATAATGTCTGTCCAGAGAAGCCTTGAAGGGCACCGAAGAATTCTTGTTGCCGTCAGAGCCTACTCTAGATGGCACGGATGTACTTCATAACGAGAAGCACAAGTTCTTCAAGTTCGAGTTTTAGTGACATCAAACCTTAAGAATGCACACTACATACTGAAGAGAGCTCTGGATCAAGCCGGAAATTGTCATAAATATTGCTCTTGCTTACAGAAGGAACCTTCCGTTGGTCTCTTCAACGAGCAGATCAAATTCAGGCTGGAACTCCGTATAGAAATTGTGCTAAAAGTCATTAGCATGCGTATTCTCAAGCATTTGAAAATATGTGTTCATTCGACTTACAGGATTCTGGGCAGCTTCAGCGGTGAATTTGGCCGCATCATCCTTGATGATCTTCTTTGGAAGGCCATTGGCTGCGGCTGCTTCAGCAAGAAGCTGTGACTGGCAAGCTTTCTCTAGCATGGAGTAGAGGATCGCTGCTTCATCAACAGTCCGGCCGACGGTCAGGAGGCTGTACGTAAGTGAAGTCAAATTAGCCAGATAGAACTAGACGCATATGGAAAACGCAGCGGCGAAATCGACTCACCCATGGTTTTGCAAGATACATGCAATGTTTTCCTTTCCTAATGCCCTAGCAATCGCCTTTCCTTCCTCTGCCGACAGAACAATGCCGCCATGGTCTTCGTAAACACCCACTCTGCCGAAGAAGTTGCATGCGTCTTTATCCAGCATATCAGCACGTATTCAAACCTCCAGAACGACCTCGGGAGAGAAGAAAAAGCCACTAACCTTGTGTAAGCATCTCGATTGGCTTTCCAAATGAACTCCACGTCTTTCCATGAATACCGTGAGTGTGCGCCGCAGCCACAACATCTGGACGTGCTTTGTGAATCTCTGAATGAATCAAAAATCCAGCTTCATTTACAGGCAACTGAGCTCCACCGTCGACTACGAATCCATCGGCATCTAGAAGAACGAGATCCGAAGCCTTGATGGTCGAGAAATGTTTGGCAAACGGGTTCATCCAGAAATGATCTTTGAGGATCGGGTCTGCAAGCCGTCAGAATAGTCTTTCTCGCCCACAACGCATGCTTCATGCAAAAGAGAGTGTCACACTTACCTCGCATCGAAATGTGCCCGGAAACACCTTCTCCATATCCTAGTTTGCCAAAGTACCGGAATGCAGCAGCCATATGCTCCTTCATCCACTTGCGTTTCTCAGTCAGGTTTGAGAATGTGGGAATACCACGGAGTTTCAGAGTGCCATTTCGGCCTCCACGAGCCAGACCTTGGAACGATGCGTCGTTTGCCGCTGGTGGTAGTGGAGGTAATTGATCTTCGTTGATCAGGCGAACCGACTGCTCTTGCTGTGTAATTGTAGATGTCGGCATGGTGAAGAATTGTCGTTGAAAGTACTATCTCAAGAATTGGGCCTTCAATGTGGGGAGTTTATGTTCCTGATCTGGTACTCGGACTTAACTCCGAGCTCTTATCTGTGAGTTGAACCCCGCTCTGTAATTGGAAGGCGCTGGCTATAAATTGTCGAGAATGCCAATGCATCCAGAGTTTGAATGGGCTTGAATTTGGATTTGGATTTGCAATCGAACATATATCGGCTCCAGAGATATGTTACATGTTGTGTGTCGTGCCATTGAGGTGAGGTCATAAGATTGGTCAAGCCTTCCAAAGCCCACGGAATTGGTTCTCTCCAAATCCCCACAACCTCACATTCTATGTACTATCATATGGGCTGGCCATAGAAAAGTATTTCTGATCACTCATAGTTCGTGATCTATATAACCATCCACACGTCAGTAATGGCCACCTAAGATCCCCGAGGAATAGATGTATAAGATGACTAAAGAAAGACACGTGATTCGTTATCAGCCATGTGGGCTTCCCATCTCAAGGCCAATTTCCCTCTCTCCTCAAATGACCAAGTCGTTGGATGTCCAAACATTGAGAGCTGCATTGAAGACATCTTATTTCTGAACTACATATGCCCCTGACTGACTGGCTCAAAAGGTGTTCCTCAGTTACTCAGTTGCTCTTTTCTTCTATGTGGCCCCAGTGACATAGACATTGGACGCGTCTAGACCCATCATGGCGGAAGGAGATCCGTCATACATAGACTATGAAGCCTTCTTAGACCCGGACTTCTCGCCATCTTCATTCGCCAATACATTGGTGACAAGCACAAACAATGCAACGGATACCCCGTTGGATTTGTCAACCCCATTGTCACGGGTGCTCTTTGATCTCCAGGAGATTGATACACATATCCATGCATTGACAACTAGATCAGCACTCCCATTGCTTTCCCACACCCAAAGCCAAACTGCTGCCGCCGACAAGATTTTAAAGGAATCAGGGACACAGATTGCTTCAGTGACTCAAGGGTACGAGCGCCTCCAAAAGGAGGTTGTACAAAAATGGGAAGCAGCGGACGAGGCCCGTATTGCTGCTGAAAACTCGCTTGCAACTGTCCGCCTAGCAAGGGCCGTCGCACGCTGCTTAATTTTAGGCAGACAGTTGGAGAGCCAGGTTGCTGAAATTACAGGCCGGGGTGCGACAGGGCCAGCACCCTTAGCTGGACTGGATGGATCAGCATCACTGTCCACCGGAAGAGATGGCTTCCGCGCACTGGAACGAGCAGCGTACACGATTTTGAGTCTGCGAGAAGTTCTCTCGGCTACGGCACCGGGCGAGGAAGGCTATGGTCTGGATCGGGTGAAGGTCATTCGCACTCTACGCGGAGAATTTGTAATCCCCGCAGAGAACATGGTCAAGTCGAGAGCGCAACAGACCATCAACAGATTCTCTTTGTCCTCGAACTCGGCAAGCACCAATGGCCAGTCATCCTTACAATTTGGCTATAAGCAAGCGCGCGATGCCCGTGCTCGACTAGCAACCGCCGCCACAACTTTATATCTTCTTTCGCATCCCCCAAAAGGCAAAACCACTGCAGCCGACTACAAGCCCGAACTCTTGTTGTCCACATTACAAGGTTTCATGCACACAGCGATCATGACCTCATCAAATGCCCTCGCCCGGGCTCTTACCCAACTTCCAACGATGGACCGAACTCTCGTCGACACCTCTACGCGATGCCAAGACATCGTCGCCTTGGAGAACATTCTCAAAAACCTCCGCCCACCACCACACCCTCTCTTGGTCCCCACTACCACAACCAACAAACCCGCCACTGAAGCCCAAACAGCGGCCGCAAACAAATCTAACCTCCTGCAACCTCTTCTCCGGGCTTTAGATACCTCATCGCTTCCTTCCTACTACTGGCGCTCCCTCGCATCGTCTCTGGCCCCGCGTGTCCAGGAATTAGTCAGCCGAGGCGGTATCTCTTCCCGCACATTACGATCTAACCGTGATCGACTAAGGATTGAGATCAAGGAGTGTGTGCTCCGTGCATCACAGGTGTCTGCTGCCAGCATGCTGGCCGAGAAGGGTCGACCAGGAACCGACACGGTGGTCGTAGGAAACTGGGAGCGAGAAGCTGCCGTGATGGTGAGCTCGGTTGTTGGTCCTTTGGGACGGTGATCCTGTGACTACTTTAAGCATGGTGTACAGTTAACCGAACCTTTACACGGGGGATTCGAGATTCGGTACGAGATAGAGGCGGTCAGTCGCAAGGATTGACCGTAGCTTTAATGAGAAGTATAATTGGATGGCTATGTCTATCTAAGATGGGATACTGCCCCTGAACTTGATGTGATCTATTCTCCCAAGATCCGGAGCCGTAGAACAAGAACAGCGGGGCACTGCACGGCGAATATTCCTGGCGATATAGGTCTTGAAATCTGGATCTCTAGTTGGTTCATTCCACACCATGTTGTCTTTCTTACGTTCTTTGGAACTATCAGCTGCAGAGTATAGATGAATCTGCATGATAGATGTACGTGGCTGGTGTGATCGGAACCTCTTCCTAGTTCCACTTCTGCTCCAAAGTGAACCCCTGCCGAGAAGACGTAGCCACAGAGAAGCTCTGGAGAATGAAAGGTTTGAGAAAGAGCAAAAATTTGACGAACTCGAAGACTTCGACAATCTATCGCTAGCTAACAGCGAACCAAGAGCACCGAAGGCCAAAAGGCGCAGCCTTCGAAGCAGAAAATGCAGCGAAGAACCAACCCGGGCGAGACATTTCTACCAATGAAAAGCAAACTTCGAAAACACATTGCAAATAGGCAGGGAGGCATTCGTGCCCGGACAAAGGAGGATGGAGAGAAAGGGCCAGAAAAATGAGACGGGAGAAGACAGGAAACCAGTGTGCGTCACGGTTAGGGCAGCCAAGATCAAAGGATCTTTTGTTGGTATTATTGCCTACAAATGGTGCATCCAATTGAGGTTAAAGGTTCAAACGACTGCAATCGTCGTGATTGCCAACGAAAGATACAGCTCACTGTTCATGTGCCTATCTGCTTGTGTCTTGGCTCGTCTCAACCTTGTATTCCCAACCTTCGCTTTTTCACTGGTAATAGTTGCTACCAAGGAAGTTTGTGATCATTCCTATATACCAAGCGTAGAAGAATTTGAGCCTTTGGTTTGCTCTCCCTATTGCATATCCTTAATGTAATCAATCCAAATAGAAAGAATGCCAGTCATTTGCTACTCCCTACTTCTACTATGTATATCTGAACCTTGCAGTCGCAATATGGGCAACAGACCCTTGGAAGAAACAAGCCAACATCTGGACACACAAGTCCCTGGTACCGACAACCAGCCGCGCCCAAACCTCAGGTGCGAAACTTTAGTGTACCTGACTAAGAACAAAGAAATCCGTATGTACCCTCGGGACGTCTATCTTAACACCGGACTCAATCCGTTCGCTCGCACAGAATCCAAGGCGAAAATCCCCGAGTATCGGAAAATTATACCCATGCATGCCTAGTCTAGGCAAATGCAGCTACACACCCACACCCACACACACACAGTAGAATGTGCCGCAGATAAGCGGGTAGGTCTATATCTGGAAGTACGTTGCACAAGTACCTGAATGCGGTGGGTGTTCCAGAGGAGTCAGATGACTCCCACACAGTGCACTGCGGTGGTGGGGATCTCTAGGCGGTTCTCAAAGTAGCTGAGAGCTGGTGGGTGCACTACATGTTGACTCAATGCCTTGGATACAGTGGCGGACAGATGCATGTCAGTTGCGGAAGAGGGGCTGGGGTCCAATCAGATTGGGGTAGTTGCATGGGTATGGATGAACGACCACAGAGAGGTAGTGCGCTTTGTCCTTTTCGTCCGGTCTGGAATTCGCATGTGAATTGGACTCTCAGCCTCCTGGTACTTATTTTCTGGCATGTACAACATACTATATATGTGCGTGTATGAATTGTCAGGCGATGAGGTTGATAAAATACCTTGGATGTAATTGTCGATGCCATTACCAGCGAAGACGGAGTCCTGGAGAGGATGAGACAAAGTCAAATCGTGAAGACCTCAACACAGCGATTTGATTCTCTATTTTCATTGATCGATTCCTTTGGTCACATTATAGGGCGACTCCGATGAAGCCACCCAGGGACGCACCCCGACACATAATCAGGTACATTGAACATGGATAGGCCTGGCATGAGATACAGAGGAAGGCCCTATGTATGATTGGATTGATCAGTAAATGGTCAATGACCCATCAGATACGCAGACTGGAAAGGCAAACGGATCGCTTCTCCAGGAGCGAAAAAAAAATACAGGCGCAAGTGTGGTGGAGTTTTGAATTACAGGGCGTGGAAGGTGTGGGAGTTCTAGCCCTCTCAAGTCAAAGACGTCAGCATAATTCAGATTGATCGGATACGCCCTGCAGCTTGGTACCTGGCTCTACTTGGCCTGCGCCTCCGGGTCAGCCTCGGTGTCGCCCTGCAGATGTACCTACAGGTACCCGGGGATTTTTCCCCCTCTTCTCGTGAGCTTTGTCTTGATGATCTATACTCTTTCTCGGTGGATTTTAGATCTGCGACACACGTGGCTTGTACTTTAGATTTCCTATACTCTTTTTTTTCCCGTCGAAGTTCACGACAACACAACGGTCGATCATTTGGACTGACGGCCCCGTCTTCATCCCCGTTCACATCCTCGAATCATACTTCACAAACGATATCTACGTAATGTAGCTTACTGTGCCACCCTTGGTCAAGGAGGGGAACCATGGAAGTGTGTATGGTGCATGTCGCCTCTTTGCTGCCCGCCAATCGTGTTTGCTGGATCCTAACCGAACCTCCACGGGGCCGATCTGGGGCTAATGTGGTACAGTACAGGATCACTAATTTGGGATTTGCTACAATAGAGGTCAAATCCAAGGGAAGAAGCACAGTATCCGCATCGGCCGTGGCGTCACATCTCGATCGGTTTTCCGAAGAGGTCTACCTCAATACCCCAAGTCGAACATAATGAAGTACGGGAGAACCAGGGATCTACCATTCAGCATAGATTTTTTACAGCTGGGAGTTGCCGTTTGCAGACTCGAGGGAAGTGGGGGGAAAGTTTAATTGCGACGCAGGGACGATAGGCCAACGGGCCCAGGGGGGGGGGGGGGAGTTTTCGATGGAGAGTTGCCTGAATGCGGTTTCATCGGAGCTACCGGATCATCTATGTGATGAGTTCGGTTGGGTTATTTTTAGGTTCCTTTTTCACGGAGGAATATGAGGAATATGAGGAATATCTACAGAAAGAGGCATGTTCTAGAATGTCTAGGATATATAAACAAAGGGTGCATATTGCAGAAAGCATCAAAGATGGAAATGAGATCTCTTATCAAGACCCCCGCAGTTTAACCATGATATAATCTAAAATTATCATGGGCTCGGACCAATGTGAGATCCTCCAAACGCGGGCTCGAGCATAGGATCATCTTATATGAAGACTTCGTATCGGGGCGGACCATTCGGAACTCTTGCTCCCTACCGCGTAACCATTCCTCTAATAGTATGACGAGGGGCGATACATCCACGCGATGCAAGGGGGATTGAGGGGAATGAGTATATTCGAGGTTAACCCTAAGATCTCCAAATCCACAGAGTCTCGACCTTTTTTTTTAAAAAAAAAAAGAACCAAACTTGTCGAGGCTTGGCGGTGCCTATTTCCAGGGTCTGGAAAAGATGGTGAACGTCAAGAACCCCAGTTTCAAGAGTTTAACCTACTTTCGCAGACCCGATTCCTCTATAGTTCGAGGGAAAAGGAGGTCTAGACTTACACCCCCCAAGTCACTCATGTTCCCAGTAGCTCCAAAGTAGTTAGAAGTTCAAGTAGTTCAAGTCACTAATGAATCATGGAGGTGCCTGGTGCCTTTTGAATAAAATGGAGACATGCGGATATCTGGTGAAACACCTAATGATTCGCATCGGTAGCCCCGGAAGGTCTTGGAGTTCCTGTTGAGTTCCTGTCTCTTCCTCTTTACTCTTACTCTATTTTTTTTTTTTGCCCCTCGCTTCCCCGAGAAGCCTCTTCTCTCATCGTCACCATTTTCGGTCTCTTTTTTTTTTTATATAACCTTGTCTTTTAGTATATACCCTGTATATATACTCGACCTTTGTTTTTCACTTTTTTTTGTTCATTCTTATCTGGCTGGTCGGATCTCCGTTTTTTTTTTTGGGAAAAAAAAAATTATCAGAAATGATCGCGATCAGCTAATGACCTTCCCTTTTCTCTTATTTCTTTACATTCTTGACTTTCTCCCCGCCCTTGCGTTTGGAATCCTAGTACACATTCTATTTCCGCCCCTCTTTCTCTTCCAGAGTAAGCGCACTTTCAAATCGTACGTGTGTTGAAACTTCTCCGAATCTCTTTTGGTCTTCTCTCTCTCTCTTTCTTTTTTTTTTTGCCCACTCTAGTAGTGTCCAGGTTACTGAGTTTGCGCAAATGTTTACAGTCAATCCGACCAGACTCCGCGTCTTGATCCCCACCGATTTCTCCGTAGCGCTGCGGTTCTTACGACTCGACATAGAGACAGATAGAACTTCAACTGATCCTGGGGTGATTATTCCGATCGGATTGTCGGCTTTGCGACTGGTGGTCAGGAACATTCGCATTTGGCTCTCCGAAGACCTGACATCACTCCCGCCTCCCACGCTCTTACGTCGCTATGGCTTCCTTTCTCCCTGTCAACAACTCAGCCCCTGAAGACCACGCGATGGATGGAGAAGCTACACCCCGTGCAATCCCAAACGGCGTGCCAGTCACACCGGATGTGTCTTCCACAGAGCAGTTTCCGGACGGAGTTTCACACCACAGCCGCGGTAGCGACGCTTCATCCCGCACAACGTTGACCCACGCTCGAACCCCGTCAACGTCTGATGAACAGATGCACGATTCTGAGGGAGAACAAGACGAATCCGACCATGATCAGAACCTAGAGAACAACGGACCCCCCTCGAAAAAGAAGAAAGGTCAACGGTTCTTCTGCACTTCATTCCCTCCTTGTAATTTGAGCTTCACACGGAGTGAACATCTGGCTCGTCACATTCGGAAACACACCGGTGAACGTCCCTTCCAGTGCCACTGCTCTCGGCGGTTTTCCCGACTCGACAACCTCCGCCAGCATGCTCAAACGGTCCATGTCAATGAGGAAATTCCTGGGGACTCGCTAGCGGCTACAGGCACACGGTTCCAGCGTCAGGTCCGTACAGATCGAGTGCGGCCACCAGGCCGGGCACGGGCAGGTACCGGAGGCAGTGTTGGCGGTCAGACCAGAGGCCATGGCAGGAACTTGTCAACTTCGAGTATTGCGTCCACCACGTCGACATTCAGCCAACCTCCGGAACTTCGTCGCCGCCCCCCGCCTTTGATCATGGCCAACGATCCCGCTGCTCGATCCCGACTCGCAATGGATTCGTTGGGAGAACCCCCGAGCACACCCCCGGCCCAGATCCATGGCGTCACTGGTCCCTCGACAGCGGGATCGCCATACACCCCCTCCAACATGTTTGCTGCTACTGGCAGAAGCCCCCAATTCGCTTCGCCCATGTCTGGTACAACACATGGGTTTTGGGAGGGAAAGACGGCCGCCCGTCGTCTTTCAGTGCCGACGAGCAGCAACCCTTTCCTCGTACAGCACGGAAACGCATATCCTCCGGCATATCACACTGCCACTGGCACACCTTATCCAACCGCGGCTGGCGTATTCGCAAGTCCCACTAGCACACATTACTCTGTGTCTCGTGATGAGGGCACCTTGAGTGCGGCCGAGGCGGAGATGCGGAGGAGAACGTGGCACCCTTCGTCGTACACAGGGTTTCCACGGCCTGGAACTAGCGGCCTGAACCAATATCACACACCCGATAACGTCCCGGCCTCATTCGGCCTGAACGGCTCGACCGAACATCCGCCCCGACTTCCCGGGATTGAGAGTTTCGACAAAGTCGTCCAACGGCCGATGACCCCACCCGCCAGAAAAGCCAGTCCAATGCAACTGGATGGCCACCATCGTCCACCACCCAACCCAGGCTTTGGATCTGGGTTCAATTACACACAGCCAGCCCACCGTCCACCGCCCCCCATCTCCGGCCCGGGTCACCGACGAGGCCATGTCTCCTGGGATATGTCTTTGCATCATAACCTAACCGGACTGGACATCCGAGACCGACGTCCGTCCACTGCATCTGCTTCTCAATGGAGTCAACAAACGCTCGCAGAACTTCAAAATGTCTCGTCCCGCCCATCGTCCTCATACCAGCCTGCATTCGGCCCAACGGCTGAAAGAAGCCCGGAAGAGTATCGGGGACATCGCCCAAGCCTTTCAACAGGGAGCCGCACGCGAACTTCCCCCGAGGATTCCAGTAGCAGCGAGGGTGTACACACCCCATCCACCGCATCGCTTGAGTATCATCCCGCGATTGTACACAGCAGCGGATACATCGAATCTCATGATTCCTCATTGCCTTCTGATCACCCCCCACCGGTAGGATTTCCGGTTCCGACCGACGGCTATCGCCCCGATTACTAACGCCGTGATAGATCTGTGGCCGTGAATCCTCTCGCGCGGACGGCTACGAAGCCCACAACGACCGGGGGCCCAGGTCCGACGTCTTCTCCCACTCTCCTGCTCGAGACTCGGGCATGGGTCGCCTGGAAGCCCTTGTCGCCGTCGCCACAAGCGAGAACAAAGGAGCAGCCAAGCTATTTCTGTAAATTGTCTCGACAAAGCCCCCCCCCCCCCTGTTCTATACCATTCTGCATGTGAAAATCATCTTCGCTTCCCGCCCTCAACTGGAGAGTGATCATCGTATACTTGGCATTCTCCCTTTCACCTTTCTCACACTCCTAACCACACCAGCCACTCTTTCCGCCCACTCTACTTCCAAGACTGAGCCCAGAGGCCTTTCTTGGCCTTTCCAATTCTCTCTTCCTTCTCTCTACACATTTCGGGGATTCTCTTCTCATACTTCCCATCTTATGATAGCGAGACCCTTGATGAACTGACGACTTTGACGACGACTGATACACGACCGGGAAACATTGCCCCTCTTTCTTTTATCTGTGTTCGGGAGTCTTACATTTGTGTTTGTGATCCTTTTTTTCGGACGGTTCTGAATGGCCATCTTTTTCGGATAAGTTCTTAAGTCCTGAGCTGCATCTCCTGGCGTTCGCATGGAAAGTTTTGTGTGGATGGAGTCATGTGCATGACGATACCCAGTCTATCGATCATTCAAGTTCCTCTTTCATTTTTGGTCGTGCTTCACGTTGTAACTGAGTGTTGCATTTCGCTCTCTTGCTCCATGGCCTCTTGGCCTCTCTCGTCTTGAGTTACTTCACTCTCTCTGCCCCCCCTTCTCTTGCCTGCTCGTTTCGTTTTGTGTCTTACTATACTCTTGGGGTGGATCGTACAGGATGCTTTTAACGGACTACAACGATGAAGACATCGGATATCTCTTATGATCTGAATATGACTGGAATGCATTGATGCTGCCTTTCCTCCTAGTCAGAAGTTCATAGGCACAAATGTATTCATTGAGAAAAAAAGACCAAGGGGCTTGAGAATGGAGCATTGGGGCGGCAAGCTCGAGAAAGGATGCGTATAAGATCGACTGGAACCATTCCTATATTGTATGGATACTGACCTAGGGTAGTACCCAGTCTAGAAGTTTTGCTCCACAACATCAGCTAGATGTGGCTAGTGGGATGGGAATGAGGCATCAATGACTTGCAGGTGACGTCGACGGGAAGCTTAGCTCTCTGGGACTTGGCCTTGGTTCATCTCCACTAGTAACACTGCACGTCTCTGTGAACAGTGTTGAAAAAAACTTGTAGGCATTTGTGAAGGGTTGGGTGATTGGAAAAAAATTACTGAATAAGATCCAGTGGCGAGCAAATGTATCAAAAATAAACCAGGATCTGAAAGGGGGGAAACGCAAGGCAGAAAATACAGGGCAGACGCAAGTTCTAGCACATGTGGTGGACAAGGACTGGGCATAAGACGTCATAGTCGAATCGTTTCCCCGGTTTTGAGAACTACCTATAAAACCTGGGATACTCCGACCTGTCAACCCCAGTTTTTACTTCGTTTGTCCTTCTCCATATTCCTTTCACATCACTACCCTACACATCATGTCTAAGAGCCGGGTTCCATTGTTTCTGGGTCTTGCCGCGGCGGGTGCAGGCGGTTACTACCTGTACTCTGCTGGCGGCAATCCCTCAGCAGCAAAGCACCAAATGAGAAGTACGTGCCCTGTCTGACGAATTCCTCCAATGCTATTGAAATGCCTTGGGAAATCAAGCTGACTTTTCTCTTTCACCCCAGTCGACGCTGAAAAGGCACGCGAGAAGCTCCCAGGTACAAACAACGCCGAGAAGCTTGGCACGGACGTCGGCAAGGAAGCCGGTTCCAATATCGATGATGTTGTAAGTCCTATTTAATCTATGGTGGCACTCTAGCATCCGTCCTCGATACTCGCTTCTCGCCTCACAAACTACTACTGGAGAAAATGTGACGTATCATACTAACCACCCAATTCTAGATCGCCAGAGCCCGTGCCGAGGGCAAACGCATTCCCGAGTTCGCTGAGGAAGGCAAGGATAAACTGGACGAGCTTCGTAAGGAAGCCAAAAACAAGTTTAACGCCAATCGGGATAAAATCAACAGCAGTGTTGACCAGATCGATCGCGAGCTCGAGCAAAAAGCTGCTGAAGCCAAAGGGGCTGTCTCTGGCTGGTTGGGTGGCAAGAAATAAGTTCTTTTTTCCATTGAGCCTTGGACAATTTAAAGTTATTATCTTCTTACGGCGCTGGTCGGTTCGAGAATACCACGAAGAATTCCATGTCTATGAAACTTTTGCGTGTTTCCCACTGTAAAGGTCAATGATGTTGTCCGCCGAGCATTCAACATGCCCTGTGCTGGTCCGTCCAGGGCGTATCATGAAACACAGCATTTTCATATAGTCCTTCTTTGACAGTAAAGACCAATTCGGGATTCTGCCATCCATTGGAGTGAAGAAATGTCGAGACGCTGAGCTTGGAAATGGTAACATTCCAATGCAGGAGAATTACCGTAGCGACGAAAATGTGTGGCCAACATGCTCTGCGAAATTTTGTACTCCATCTTTTTTCCATACTTCATCATATTCAGACCGCTTTTCTCTCTTCTCAAATCAGTCTTCCAATATTCCATGTTGAATTGAAGTTCATATTGTTTCCGCTCACGCGTTTCTATTTAACCCGAAAAGGCTAGTGCGGGTTTTCCCACGCGTCCTCGAACGCGTCTCTCCCTTGCACCTTCTGACATCTCCTCCCACTTTCCTTTTCCACTTTCTACACTTTCCCCTTTTTTGTTCGCTCTAATATCCCGGTATCTCTTACCTTGTCTATCATAATCCAGTTGTATCCATCGCCCTTTCTTCATTTTTCCTCTCCCGAACGGCAAAAAATTTTTCAGTAGTCGCGATGCCGCGCACCTCCCGATCAAGCTGCGTTGCCCAGCCAGCCATTCAAGCCTTCACTCGGGCAACCAAAGCCGGCATCACTCCGCAACTACCTGCTAAGAAGATCACATCTCTTCCGGTCTCACCTTCCAAAAAACGCAAGCTACAGGAACTTGAAAACTTCGACAATGGTAGCAGACAGGCGCCAATTGAGGAGGAAGGCACGCCCTCGAAAACTTTGCGCCTCAACGAACTGTCCGTTTCCTCACCACGCAGCGGCCATTATGTCTCGCCCAAGAAATTGTCACCCACAAAGACCCCGAGTCGGACCCCGAGTCGACGGGTTGCCCCTGTCAAGAAAGCGCCCACGACACCCGCGACCCCTTCGAAGCAACGAACCCTGAACTTTGAGAAAGTGATTCCGGTGCGCGAGGAAACCCCAGTTATCGAACGGCCTGCGTTCTTCAATGATATTCTCAACCTGCACTCCTCATTCGTGCAGGCATTTTCCATTCACATGGCACACAATGGCGCAAATACCCCTGCGGATCTCCGGGAATTCCTTGGCAGTGTTACCCGCCTCTGGAATAAGCGCAAGGTGCAGATGAAGGACTTGCAGCGTCTTGTATGGGTCTGGGAACAGAGTTCGAAAGCTGGACACATCTCATATCGTCTGGCAAACTATGGACTCGGCAAAATCTGCATGGAGCGCACCGTTCAGATTAACGTGCAACCTCCGGCTTTGCAAGACTCTTTCGAAGAAACGATGGACTTACTCTGGGAAAAGGCCCCGGAAGCCCTTCGGAATGCACAAGAGGAAGACCAAGCAACTCTATTCATCGAGTCTCTCGGTCTCTCCACAATCCACGAGTCGCTCACCCCGTTCACGGTTTTCCAGAAAGGCCAGCAAAGACTCCAGGATCTAAAGGGTGGTCTGCTCCGCTTGAAGGCCGAGAGAATGCGCTCAGAGTCAGCAGAGACGACTCCTCTGGAGCGGACGGCAACGATCAGCCGCCGCCAGAGCCTATTGGATCGTATTAAGAGCAAGCAGCTACGTCAGTCCAAGCTTCCTCCTCCACCTGCCAAGAAAGAACTCGTGCGACGTGCAGCCGCCGATCGAGTGGAGGAGGTAGCTGGGATTCTGGCCCTGTTGCGTCCTGCTGGGTATGTGGGCAATGGCATCAAAGCCATGCTTGCAGCCCAACGCAAGCCCTTCAAGCTAGATGTGATGATCGAGCATGTCCGGGACTCTGTTCGCAGCGAGATTCCTCGTGAGGAGGTGGAGATGTGTCTAGAGATTCTATCGGATCCAAAGGTGGCTGGTGATTGGATCAGTATGGTTACTGTGGGACAGATGAAGTCAGTCGTGTTGAAGTCTTGCAAGGAAGTCTCTGCCAAAGACATCGGGGCGAGAGCCGCCCAGCTTAAGGCAGACTGGGAGAAGTCTGCGTCTTGTGTGCAGACTCCTCCGTTGTGATTTATGATTTCGTCTTTGTAGATTTGGTTCTGTCTTTTGTTTTTCATTGTTGGATACCTCGCATCCGCAGAGCCGGTCTGCTCGCGGTCTTGCATCAGCGCTCGATACCCTGTACCTCATTTACCATTTGTCTTTTTAGCATTAGAACTACATACCTTAGGAAGTACTTAGCAATTAGGTCCTCGGACACCCGATCATAATATCACTACTTTAAGACCGTCGAACGCTTACAAGGACTCCCTATCTCTTATGTTCTTCTCTTTGGTTTCTGTGGTAGTCGTTTTAGATGTCTTTTGTGATATCTTTTGGCACTCCTTAGTTTAATAGCTAGGAAGATGAAATAGCGATTAAAAAAGCCTAAAAGTACAGAGTACATGTTACTTTTCTACATCTAATCAAAGATTAACCACTGGAATTGATTCCTCAAGAAACTTCTCCAGTCGCCTGGCCGATCCCGCCCACTTAACGCGCGACGCGTGCACGGACCATGCAAGTTTAAGCAGCGCGTCGAGTTGGACTCGTCCAAACCACCTTGAAACCAGCATTTGCATTGTCCTTTGCTGTATTTCTTTTCACATCAACCGACACCATGTCTTCACGACCTGACTTGAAGGTATGAGTTGAGTGATCGAATATTCCTCAACCCCACTAACACAGCATCCACTAACTCAAATGTTGAACACAGGTCGACGACGAAGTCGGCTTCATTGGCTTCTACCGTGGCCTCCCTGCCCCCGATAATAATGAAACCATCCGTGTGTTCGACCGAGGTGACTGGTACTCCTCGCATGGCGCCGATGCCGAATTCATTGCGCGCACCGTCTACAAAACGACATCCGTACTGCGAAACCTAGGCCGCAGCGAGACGGGGGGCCTCCCCTCAGTCACGATGAGCGTCACAGTCTTCCGAAACTTCCTCCGCGAAGCTCTCTTCCGACTGAACAAGCGTATCGAGATTTTCGCTTCAGCTGGCTCAGGCAAGAGCAACTGGAAGCTGGCAAAACAAGCCAGTCCCGGTAACTTGCAAGACGTGGAAGAAGAGCTTGGCAACGTGGGTGCACTGTCAATGGACTCAGCGCCGATTATTCTCGCTGTGAAGATTTCTGCTCGCGCAGCTGAGGCCCGGAATGTCGGCGTTTGCTTCGCTGATGCGAGCGTGCGCGAGCTGGGCGTGAGTGAATTCCTTGATAACGACATCTACTCCAATTTCGAGTCGTTGGTCATTCAGCTCGGTGTGAAAGAGTGTCTCGTGACTATGGATGTGGCTCGCAAGGATGTCGAGCTGGCGAAGATCCGGGCTATCGCGGATAGCTGTGGGATTGCCATCTCCGAGCGGCCTGTTGCAGACTTCGGTGTTAAGGACATCGAGCAGGATCTTACGAGATTATTGAGGGATGAGCGGTCTGCGGGCACGCTGCCTCAGACGGAGCTGAAACTGGCCATGGGGTCTGCGTCCGCGTTGATCAAGTATCTTAATGTCTTGACCGATCCTACCAACTTCGGTCAGTACCAACTCTACCAGCATGATCTGTCGCAGTATATGAAGCTTGATGCTTCGGCACTTCGGGCGCTGAATCTTATGCCTGGTCCGCGGGACGGGGCCAAGAGTATGAGCTTGTTCGGTTTGCTGAATCACTGCAAGACACCTGTGGGCAGTCGTTTATTGGCCCAGTGGTTGAAGCAGCCTCTGATGGATCTGGCAGCGATTGAGCAACGCCAGCAGCTAGTGGAGGCATTTGTTGTTAACACTGAACTGCGTCAGACTATGCAGGAGGAACATTTGCGTTCCATTCCGGATCTTTACCGGTTGGCTAAACGTTTCCAGCGGAAGCAGGCCAATTTGGAAGATGTTGTCCGAGCATACCAGGTTGCCATTCGTCTGCCTGGGTTTGTGAGCGCGCTGGGTGATGTGATGGACGAGCAGTACCAAACCCCTCTAGAGACGGAATACACTTCTAAGCTCCGTGGTTTTTCTGACAGCCTGGCCATGCTTGAGGAGATGGTCGAAACAACTGTTGATCTTGCTGCTCTGGAAAATCACGAATTCATCATCAAGCCCGAGTTCGATGACGGCCTTCGAGTCATCAGAAAGAAGCTTGACAAAGTACGATACGACATGGATATGGAGCACCGCCGAGTTTCAAAGAATTTGAATCAAGACATTGAGAAAAAGCTTTTTATGGAGAATCACCGGGTGCACGGTTGGTGCTTCCGTCTCACTCGAAATGAGGCGGGCTGCATTCGCAACAAGAAAGAGTACCAGGAGTGCTCGACGCAAAAGAACGGCGTATACTTCACCACATCCAACCTGCAATCCCTTCGCCGAGAGCATGACCAACTGTCCTCGAACTACAACCGAACCCAAACCGGTCTGGTTAACGAGGTCGTCAATGTTGCCGCATCTTATTGCCCAGTGTTGGAGCAACTTGCCGGTGTACTGGCACACCTCGATGTCATTGTGAGCTTTGCCCATGCTTCGATGCATGCACCTTCGGGATACGTTCGCCCAAAGATGCACCCCCGCGGAACTGGAAATACCGTTCTGAAAGAGGCTCGGCATCCCTGCATGGAGATGCAGGATGATATTTCCTTCATCACGAATGATGTTTCCTTGATTCGCGATGAATCATCCTTCCTCATCATCACCGGTCCCAACATGGGCGGTAAATCAACATACATTCGACAGATCGGTGTGATTGCACTCATGGCACAGACTGGCTGCTTTGTCCCTTGTACCGAGGCCGAATTGACCATTTTCGACTGCATTCTTGCTCGGGTTGGTGCCAGTGACTCGCAGCTCAAGGGTGTCTCGACGTTCATGGCAGAAATGCTTGAAACATCCAACATTCTCAAGTCCGCCACCTCAGAGTCCCTGATTATCATCGACGAACTTGGCCGTGGAACTAGCACGTACGACGGCTTTGGCCTGGCCTGGGCTATTTCGGAACATATTGTTACCGAGATCCGCTGCTTTGGCCTGTTCGCAACTCATTTCCACGAACTCACTGCCTTGGCAGACCGGTATCAGAAGGCCGTCAAGAACTTGCATGTCGTGGCATTCATTGGAAACGGCAATGAGAGCGATAGTGAAGCTGAAACCAAGGAAAAGAAAAAGCGCCAAGTCACTCTTCTCTATCGTGTTGAGCCAGGAATCTGTGATCAGTCTTTCGGTATTCATGTCGCTGAGCTTGTGCGCTTCCCGGATAAGGTTGTCAACATGGCCCGCCAGAAGGCTGAGGAGCTTGAAGATTTCACCTCAGCGACAACTGAAGATGGACAGGCACAGCTTCCTGCGCCATCGCTTGATAAATACTCCCAGGAAGAGGTGGAGGAAGGCAGTGCGCTCCTCAAGGGAATGCTGTTGAAATGGAAGGCAGCAACTGAGGGCAAAGAGATGACGGCGGAGCAGAAGCGACAGGTCATGCGTGATCTGGCACAAGCCGATGAAAAATTACAAGCAAATAAGGTGTTCCAGGGTATCAAGGCTCTATAAGGATGTGAGCCGTTCAAGGGATTTGGCGTTCATGGAGGCATGGGTTTGAAAAGGCATTGTGGTGTACTCATCTCTTTACACGTAAAGTTGAACTAGAAATAAACTCTTCTTCTCTCATATTTCTTCAGGGTTATCCTTATAGTTCTCTTGTAAGGTAACCAACAGGTTGTCGACGTATACTCCGAAAATATAGAAGCCAGTCACGTGTAGGTCGGTCTAGATGATCAACGCGGGATTGTGACGAAGCAACTTTAGTCCAAATCCGAGTATCGTTCTTTTAATTGTCTTCAATTCGTTCCTTTGAAAATTAAGCCTACAGCAAAACTTCCCATCCTGGACCTGTGCTATCGCTGGGCCTTTAAACCACCCTCAACCACCTCATCCAACTATGCGCGCAACTTCAACGCGGACGGCCTGAACCACCTCGATTCATGCACCCCTTTTCCGTCCTCACTCTTGGGATCTTCGTCGCGGGCTATATTACCGCCAGGTGGGACCTTGTTACCCGTCTATACGAATTGGCCATCTTCGCCTGGGATCACGGTGTCGTGGTACGTCTTCCATCAGCCATCCGCCATCGGTTCTTGGCTCCCCCCCTCCGCTTGCGACTTCATCAGCTTGGTGCCAGCGTACGTTATATTTGCAACGTCGCTAATTTGCTTTATTTAGACACGAACTGCAAAAGGATTTGTGCTTCTCTCCATATTCTATTTCCTCCTCGTTCTACCGATCAACAACCTCGCGTCTAAGGAGGGCCAATTGGTGAGCAGCACCGGAACAACCAAAGCTTTGGGCAGCTACCGAAAAATCAAGCGCTCAATGCTAGCTGAGAAGTACTTGCTGACGGCTTTGGGGGATGTAGCATCCGCGCCACGTAAATTTCGGCGTCTCCGCGCGCGAACAGTTGCGCCGTCGAGGTTCGTTCTGAGACTCAAGTGGAGGATGACAATATGCTCATGAGCGATGGACTGCTGCGGGTATTTTGGCCATATGACCTCCCACGATCCTCGTCCCCGGGTGTGATAGTTGGATGGCGGAACTCGGAGCTTGATTTGTTTGTGCTCACGGTGCTGGAAGATGTTGAGGTAGGCAGGTGCAGTTGCTTTGTCTTCCCGTTCGAAATAAGCTGATCGTGTTTGTGGTGGAACAGTCTAGCCACGTTGAAAATGCTCTTCGGGCGGGCATTCTTTTTCGAAATAGCCCTCATCCGATTGTGCGCATCTTCACTCTATGTGGACGCTCTCAGATGCATGTCCTCGGCTCGACCAACGCTCGCGAACCTCCGACGTCTTTCAACCCTTCCCACCTAGATGTGACTACAATTTCATCCCCGAAAGCTCCTCTCATCTTTTGCCCACCAGAGGCAAATCTGTCTGTGCAGGTTGTCATGTACCACCGCCCGCACCCAACGCGCATGGAATACATGTCGCTCGATCCGATTGCACTGGCCTTGGGTGATAAAGCGACCAAGACGGAAGTATGGGGCCCATCATCGGATAAGATCGAATCAGAAGAAGGGGTGGACAAAGCTGGGGCTAAGTTATTGGTTGAGAAGCTCAAGCTTCATACTGTCGTCAAGCACATCCCATCACAGAAGGAGCAAGCCCTCCCGCTCATTATCAACCAGGTTAATTGTGCATATGAGATGGGGCAACTCATGCACAAGAACAGTCACTTGATTGGGATTCGTGCGAAGAGAAGTATGAGCGTCGGAGAACGTGTCGTGGAATCAGCGACAACCTTATGGGGATTTGTTGTTCTCTGTACTGCTCACGTTTTCTGGCAATGGCTTTGGCCCGTCGTCACCCGTATATTTGTCTTCGGGCTTGTATGCCACCGGTCTGTTGCGGAAATTGTCCTGCAGGTTCTCGAGTGGCGTGCTCGGCCTGACGCTGCTGCTATCAAGGATATCTCAGCAACAGCTCAGCAGGTTGATATAAGGTTGCAGCAGTTTTGTTATTGGCCGATTCAATATGTCAAGCTTCGGCAAAGAAAGGATAACTGGGAAAGTGTCACAACCAGCCATCCAGACTACATTCGTTTCTATAACAGTCTGTGGCTTGTGGCCAATGATGTGATCATTGGGATTGCGCTGGGGTCCTACATTATTGACAATGCGAATTGGGTCGCTTCACAAATCAACACTGTCTTGACCGGCTGGACAGTGGAGGGGTTACAGCGCACCATTTCGTGGCTAATGGATTGGCCAGCCGGCTTGAAACTTAATAATGAGCTTGCGGCGTTCCTCGGTGACTTGTTCCTATGGGTCATTGAAAACTGGGCAGCTTGCATTGCCAATCTTCAACCTTACCTTCCTGCTGTCATCTACATTGTTGGATGTTCAAGCTTTGCGGGAGCTAGCATGCCCATCGCTCTCTTCTCCGATCTTCTTTCGATTCTGACTGTCCACATTTACTCCTTTTACATTGCCTCCGCTCGTATCTTTAACTGGCAACTCACCATTATCATTTCCCTATTCCATCTTTTCCGTGGAAAGAAACGCAACGTTCTCCGCAATCGAATCGATTCATGTGACTACGACCTCGACCAACTCCTCCTTGGCACTATCCTCTTCACAGTCCTATTTTTCCTACTACCTACAGTTGTGGTGTTCTACCTGACCTTTGCCTCGGCCCGGATGCTAATTATTTCAATGAAGGCAGCGCTTGACACCTGCCTCGCATTTTTGAATCATTTCCCGCTATTCGCATTGATGCTCCGCGTGAAAGACTCGCGACGGCTACCAGGAGGTATCCGCTTCAAGCTTCGGAACGAATCAGACAAGAGCCCAACAGCAACGAACTCGTCTGCGCTGGTTTCTTACATCCACCTCGAGGTTTGTCTCTGTTTCTGACCAAAAGCTCGCCTCAGAAAAGCTCACACTAAATTTAGTCCATTCCCCTCCCTCTGCGTGCAATGTTCGATCAGTACTTCCAGCTGGGCCACCGGCTCCGGAAACACTACCTCGCGCCTCGTGTCATTTTCTGTCTTGTGACCGGCCGCTTTGTGCCACCTATCCACCGCCGTAACCTCTATAGCATGCAGTACAGCATGCTACCTGCCCATCGGGCTGGTATGGTAGAGGTGTGGGCATTGCTCACCCAACCCAAGAAATGCAATAGTGGCAGCAATGGCTCTGGCTCTATAGGTGGAGCTATTGGATCCTTGAGTCACCCGGTAGCCAGGGTCCCGGCGAACTACGGTCAGGGTGATCTTCGGAGACGGGGTCATCGATGATATTAATCCACCAACTACTCTTGTATATAATGCCGATAATATTCTTATCCCAAAATCTTAGTTTGAATACTGACTTGCCAGAACATAGAACGATAGACAAAGACACTCCTGGAGCAATTTAGAGACACCAGTATATTTAGGTAGGAGATGAGATATGCTATGTACACAGAAAGCTTTCCAAAAAACCACACCGTTAAACTCCTGTTCGGGAAATTACATAGTACCCATGAGAAATGCATGGCATCGCAGAAAAGAATAAATGTTGCCAGAGCTAGACTGCTCCTACAATCACCAACGAGGAAGAATGATTAAAAATTCACTGAAAATCCATGTGCCCCTTTTCAAGATTTCTTGAGGAATTCTGCGTCTGTTTCACTAGCGCTCTTTCGGGCATCATCCACCATGGCGTCAATGCCCCGTTCCTTGAGAACTTTCTGCAAACATTAGAATACCTCTGTCAGACATCTTGAACGACCCGAGATATATAGAGACTATTGAGGACATATCAAAAGGCAGGACTTACGTTCAAGCACCCTTTGTAGTTCTTAAATAATGCTTCGCAATCATTGGATGAAGTGTTGCCACGCAGATATTCTGCTGTTGAATTAGCTGCTGCTGCTTAGACCTATGATTGAAAAGCATAATTACATACTCTCGCTATACCACTTGAGGAAGCAAGTATCATATTTCCTGGTAATGTATTAGCTTTTGGTCAACATATGGAAGCTAGGTATGTTCACTAGAACTCACTCTTTGATATCGTTACATTCAGGTGCAATAGAAGCTGCCATATTGAACCTGGTAAGAGGTTATTTATCAAAGAATATCCCGCCGACTTTCCACTCTTCTTGCTAGTCAAAACTTGAATATTTGAGAGGAATGAAAGGATAGAATGCGGTCATGCTCGAAGATCGGCGGTCGTTCATACAAATTTCGCCACTCTGGGAAGGCGGTCAGGGCGGGCCTACCATTTCTCCATTGTCATTTTCTAGCCGCGACTTTTTTTTTCGGGACGTTCGATCTTCATGTCACTGCTATTCCGCGTTTCTTTTCCTTATTCTTCTTTTCGCCAGATCCAGTGAACTGGAGCTCTGCTAGTCAGCATGGACTCTGCAGAATTTGCCCCGTTCCAGGAGAAGTTAACCTCCGCTCTGGTGCAGGTGACTCGAACTGTCGGGCAGCTCTCATCGGAAGACCTGAACTTCCATCGCACCTCCAGCGCAGAATTCTCCGAGTCGCTAGATGAACAAAGCGCGCGCATCATTGCGCTGACCTCCGCCGTTATCAAAGCTGCCACCGCTGGCACCGATGTAACGGAACCAGCCCTTCACGATGAGGAATCCGTCGAGGACAATTGGCGTGGCGTGGTGGATGTGATTGACTCGCTTTTGGAAAAGGCCGATGCATGCTTGGATGAATTCACTGGCGTCATTAAGAAGCTTAGCCCTTCGCAGGAAGAACAGGCACCGATCAAGAAACCTCCCAACTTCCCGACCATCTACGACTATGGCCCCTCTAAGATCCCCAAGCCGCAATTGCTGTTCGATCGCAAACCGGATAACACTGATATGGGCCCCTTCAAGCCTCTTCTAAAGTCTAAGCCTCATGCGATTGTGCCGCTGGAGAAGTGCTTGAAGACGAAGAAGATGGAAGGTGGAATTGGTTATCCACACCCCTATGAGACGGAGATTCTTGCTTCAGAGTACCCGAAACCGGTCTACCAGGTCTCGCCCCCGGTTGAGTATCTGCCTTTCGAGAGCACCACTGCAACCTTTGTCGATACTTTGGATGGAGTTAAGGAAATGTTGAAGGAGCTCAAAAAAGCCAAGGAAATCGCTATCGATTTGGAGCACCACGACGTGCACTCATACCACGGTCTTGTCTCTTTGATGCAAATCAGCACCCGGGGCAAGGACTGGGTTATCGATACCTTGCAACCTTGGAGAGAAGACCTGCAGATCCTCAACGAGGTTTTTGCGGATCCAAAGATCTTGAAGGTCCTGCACGGTTCCACCATGGATATCATCTGGCTGCAACGCGACTTGGGGCTTTATGTGGTTGGGATGTTTGACACTTTCCACGCTGCATCTGCACTGGGCTTCCCAAAGCGAAGCTTGAAGTTCCTGCTGAGCAAGTTCGTCAACTTCGAAGCTGATAAGCGGTATCAAACGGCTGACTGGCGGGCTCGCCCACTTCCACCGGCCATGTTCGATTATGCACGATCTGATACGCATTATCTCCTCTATATCTACGACCGCCTACGAAATGACTTGATCGACAACTCCACTGAAGAGGCCAGCCACATTGATTATGTCAACGAGCGGTCTAAACATGAAGCCCTTCAACGCTATGAACGCCCTGTTTATGATGCCGTCAATGGACACGGCCCTGGAGGCTGGTACGATCTGTTGTGGCGCAACTCGGGCAATCTTCCCAAGGAGCAATTCGCCGTCTTCAAGGCTGTTCACCAATGGCGCGATGAAGTAGCGCGCGCTGAGGACGAGGGTTGGCAGTGCGTGTTCCCCAAGCACATGCTCTTCAAGCTTGCCACAATTATGCCACTTGATATGGGGTCTCTATTCCGAACCCTATCACCCATGACTCCCATTGCGAAGGAGCGGTCACACGATCTTTTGGAGGTTATCAAGCAAGCCAAGGTTTCCAGTGTTGATGGCCCAGAATGGTGCGATGTGGCACCCCCTAAACACCTTGCAAAGGTTCTAGAGGCTGCGATCACAGAATCTGTCAATTTCCCCATCGCCGAACGTTATGAAACGTCTCAATTCTGGGGCAATGTTTTGGAAACCCGAGAATCGCCCCCTCCTCCGGCATATGCGCTTGCCGCCGGCGCTGAAGCTCTGCGCCTTTCTCTTCCCCTGCCACCTATGCCGACAACCGTCTCCGAAACCCGTGATCACTTCGGCACCGCAAAACAACCCGCTCCTGCCCCCAAGCCCACACCTACCCCAGCTCTCCAAGAGCTGGAGGAGAAGAAGTATTTCACCGTTAAAGACCTCGGCGGTCCCCGCAAACGTAAGGTTACCCCAATCAACAACCTAGAGCAAGCCCTCTCCATCTCAGCCGATCTCGACGATACAAGCAACGGCCTCGACTCCACGCTAAAGAAAAGCAAAAAGTCGCGCAAGGAGAAGAAAGCCAAGAAAGTGCAATCCGACTCCAAGCCCGAGAGCGAAGCTCCCTTTGACTACGGCACCGCCGACGCCGTCCTCAACGCGCCGTCTGCTGCCACAGTCGCGCACCCTCGCAAAAAGGCTTTCAACCCGTACACCAAAGCGATGGAAGCCCCCTCAGGCGCGCGGAAGACCAAACGGGAAACCCCTGGCAAGTCTCTTACGTTCCGCCAATAAACGGCTGGTCCGGAGTGCAAAAAAAAAAATAAGCATTTACGAATGGGGTTTGGTTGGTTTTCTTCTTTCCTGATGTTGTTTGGTTTATCTGTTTAGTTAGCATAGCGATACCCGTGCGTCAGTTGGGGCTCTGGGATTCTACTTCTTGTATGCACATGTAGAGAATATCAGGTTCTTCCCGGCAGTGAGATCTTAGATGTGCAAATTCTTATAGATTGGATTAACGTTCACTCTTTTTTTTTAAAAAAAAAACAAATTTGTTTCAAATCGCTTTCTACGGGGTCCTCAGTGATCTCATCGAGGTCCCAAGCCGCGATCGTAAAAAAAATTAAAAATGAGACAGTGTTTCACTGAGCCCACGAGTTCGCTTGGCAAAATCCACAGGTCGTGATATGAGAAAATAAAAAATGCACCAAATTCAATGGTCACGGCCATTGAGAAGATCCATCAACTCGTGTAGTGTAGTTGTGTAGTCATGATCTAATATCAACGGGCCTAACTACCTAGATCCATGGATATGCATGTTGTACTCCGGATGAGGTAAGAGTCACCGACATCATTGCCCCTCCGCATTGACCATTCCCCGCTATAGACAGAAAAGAAACGTTGATAAATACAAAATTCAAACGGACCGAACAACATGGGTACCTCTGTGCTTTGTACGGAGTCCACGTTAGTGGGATCTCAACGAGTCCCAAAGAGGCAGAATGGTGCGACCATCATCTCCGCCTTTGATAGGTTGGACAGTAAGAGATGTAACTACTCCGTATGTCTAAATTGAACATAATTACTCCATACACCTGGAGTATGGAGGAGAGCCCATTGAATATATTACAGACACCATACACAGTGAATATTCGCTCTAGTCAGGACAAACCTGTTGCCGATCGCTACTAGATCGCACTGATAGCAGCCGATGAACATAGATTCCATCGTTCTAACGTAAGCGGAAGGATTGCCTATCCAAGCGCGAATTAGCGGAAGCCCGGATCGATTAAGCGGGCCACGGATGTCTAGTACTTCGCATATACATTACGCTTGGATTTCATCTGCAAGTAACCGTTGGAGGCATGGGTTCTGGTACGGAGTCCCTCTTTCAGGGGTTGGCAAATGATCTACAGAGCTTTGGCGTGTTTCATCACGGACGGGATGGGATGCATACTAGGCCGTGTGAATGATTGGCCGTATGTGATGAGCCATGGAGTCATGTAGCCATATTTTAGCTGTACTCTTAAAATGTACATCTGCACGTACTATGCAAGCTGCACGCTACATTCAAAGAACGGAGTACGGAGTACATTGTTACATGCTTTGTATTGATAAGGGGAAGTTCGCGGAGATAATCAAACTCTCTCTCCCCCCACTGACTCCACTTTTTCCGTTCGATTACCCCTGAGCAAAAAGCATAGACCAGGAATGAGCCCTGTCTCTTGAGCTGTTAACGTCTGTGTCGAGGGACGTGGGAAGAAAAAAAAAAAAGCAAAGAGGTGGATTCAGTGCACCCCCGCATAGTTTGCCTTCAGGGTTCTGATATTCAATATGGATGTACATATCATACTAGTCATGAGAGATGAGGCCATTTGGTACCTTGGACTCAAAGTTTGGTCTTCCAGGGAGTGTTCTAGTTCACTGGTACTGCACGACCAATCCATTGGTTCACACATTTAAGTAGAGATAGGAGAGTGCAAAATAGGCCTTTTCATAACAATAGAACCCCTCCCGAAGGCCCATCTGAGTACGGAGGACTTCCAAGCTTGTCGGATGGAGCCGAGGAAGACTCCGCTATAGTCTGAGACAATCCATGCCGATTCATGCACAGGGACGATGTTGATACATTTACTTGAGTGGTATGACTAGAAGAATGGGGCCAG